ATTGAATTCTCGAGCGTTCGTCTTTTACGAAATGACTTCATAAGCACCACAGAGCTCATAAGAAAAAATAATGTGGGAGAAAGATAAAGAAAGATTCACTCTTCAAGCAATTCAAGCATTATGGACGAATTAATAAATTATTCTCTGTGTTATTTTATTTTTTTAATGTATAAAGTCCCTTTATTTTCTAATGCTAGGTTTGGTTGTCGGCAATAAGAATTAAGGCAATATGAAAAAATACGAATTTTAACAATCACAATCACATTAGCAAAATGCAATTTTCCTTCATATGAGCATGTACGCGACGAGCTGAACAGCTTCCGCCAGCAATGAATTTAAATTTGCCTCTCGTTCCCCTAGGGTGATGGCTTACTGCTAACATATATGCAGAAATGACCATATTTGCATGTTATATTCATGTAATTGCATTATTTGAGATCACGACTGTGGTATCGACGAATTTATCCATCACAAAATTTAATGCGGATTTATAACCGTATTATCCATTAGCTCTTCATTTACCCCCCAAGATACATTCTATTGGCTGAACAGCTTTTTCTGTTTGGCAATTAATTATGAAAAAAGGAAAAAAAAAACTACTGAATGCATGACGCAATGAATAAATTGAAAAAAGATTCAACTGATGGGTAGATAATGAATGACCACTGTGAATATAATATAATATCATATCACACGCGTGAGATCCACTCAAATTGATGATGACTATGCCGACTGCCACGAGTCATACCACACCTAGTCCTCGTGGAAATTAATATTGCAGATAAAAGTGCGTAAAATGCAGATAGAATATCACTCCGTCAAAAACAATTTATTCTTTTAAACAGCAAACATTCACCACTGACAATCACTCAGGTGGCACTCAACTCATATCAATATTCATTGTAAAAACGTCCATCTGTCCGTTGGGTACTATGTGCGCCCAATGACAGATTATTTACTATTTCATTATAGCTGAGGGAAGAGAACAAGTAATTTATCGAGTTTCAAGTGGATTCTATTTTTTTTAGTTCTTTCCCTCCCCCAAATCTATATTTCGTTGAAAATAGACGACGGCAAATGGCACATTACTTGGGTGAAATAAAAAAATTCCCATCAGTTGATACTCTATCGAGAGAAAAGTAGTGGAAGAAGAAACGGAAGGAGCTGAGTCACTCAATGGACTTCTGGAAACCAAGAAAGGCCCAGAAGATTTACCGCACCCCTTCTCTTCACTGCTTTTATCTAAACCGCTAGATCCGATTTCTTTAACCATACAAGGGTGCCCCACCATTCTACCTACTTTATGTCCCTCTCCTCTTTCACCTCTTTTACCAAAAATAATCAAAAAATGGATAGAAGAGTAGAGAGGAAAAAAATTCAATCTATCTATCTATCTAAATTTTGTTCTCATCACTCAAATAATTCTCATTATTTAGAGATATGGTGGATCTAAAGGCCAAGTGATGTTCACATATAAGAGATAAGGTGACAAGGTAGCTATAGTGCTTATAGGTATACAGGGAGAGAATATCGTCATAATAGAAAGTAAAATAACGATAAAATAACGAGATATTGGAAGGCACATCCATCCAGAAGCTTCAACATTTGTTCTCATCATCTTAAATTAGAATTAGAACAAGCCAAATTATACTTGCACAAGAAAAGCCGGAAAATTTCCGGTTCAAAACCCAAGTGCAACTGCTCTAACTATAGTTCTTTAAATACTGAATAATTAATTCTCCATTTGTAGAAAGGTTGTGCAATTATATATATTAAAAAATTACTCTTACAATACAACCATTAAAAAGATTCTCCATATTTTTCATATTGTCATGTAGTTTATCTTTACAATAGGAAAAAAAAATAGTTGAAGTAACTTAGTGAATGTCTTTGGCATAAAGTTGGGACTCTATACTCGTAGTTTCGGTGTAGTTTAATATACTCAAGCTAGTTATATACCTGAATTTACGTTGAGATTCTCCTCTACATGCGGTTATATTTTCCAAGTCAGTACGTATATATACATGAAGATTTAAATTGAAGCTTGAGACCACCCCGTCTCGGTGGCGGTTGATACTGCAGTAGTTAGTGTATGGTGTGTACAGCCCTCCCTTTTCCCTTTTCGTATTTGTAAACATCACCTTTACCCAACAATAGGTAATGCGTCAGACGAAAAATTCTCAAAAGATTTCACCGGCAAAATTCCATTCAAGGTTCAAACTTTCGCGTTGAAAATATCCAGTGAATCTTTTAACGAGGTGTTGGCGAAACTAGGCAAGACTGGCCGAATTAAAAATTATGAGCATGCATTGATACATACTGAGCTTTCAATAATTCAGAGAGCCTGTGCTCGTGCTCGTGATATCTTAGCCATGGCTTCAGTTTTCCCACCCGTCACATAAATCAAGCCCGGATTCAACCAAACTGATGTTTCCATTATTTATTGCATCTTACACTTCAAGGTAATCATATATTTCAATTTAACCCAAATTCCCTTTTGAACATTAATATAACAATATCGAGAGGTAAAATAGATTTGCCGAGATATATTTTAAGGCTTAGCATTTAGGGTCTTTCTTTTTATCTGAATCGTACACATCCATGCATCTGACAACAGCATCATAATTAAATATTTGTCGTATGATCCTTTATTTCGTGTGCCTTGTCATTCTATTTCTTTTCTGGACAATTCACAGAAACGGCTAATTTTATTTTTTTTCTTTATTTTTGAATTTTTCAATAGTAAAATGCGGGATCGTAAAATGTCCCTTGCACGAGTTGTAACAGAATCTAGGAAGAGTGTAACGCATACCCAAGCTTTTTTCACTGGAGCCTCTGTGTTGCATTTTTTTGCTGGCCCGCTATTCCGTCTCTTGTTGAAGGGATTAACTTGAACGCTTCGCCCTCGCCGACGAAACAACCGACGAAATAACCTTCATTCGAAGGCTACAACAAATGGGAAACTTAGTGTTGAATGTTGTAAGTTTTCAAGAATAATGATTAAAAAAATAATTATTTTCATTTCCATTATTAAAACTTGGAGAAAAACCGCCACGCATTTTTAATTTTACACATAATTCGAACACTGACCAATCTGTTGATTAAATTTTGTTGAAGCTAAAAAAACCAAGGTGATAAATGGGAATGCCATTAAGCATTTAATTTATCCAGTAGTTCCATCGATCCGTTCAATTGTTTGGATTTATTTCGCAAGTTGGTGCAATTAAAGTCCTCGAACAATAAACGAAAACGAGAGCAAGAAAAACCCATGAAATAGAGAAAATGAAATGAGAAATTGAAGGAGCGAATAACGAGCTGAATTTTACTTGGTCCATGAGTGAAAAGAAGCAGCTCAAAGGCCTCTCCAATCTTCTCCACAAGGTTGAATTGTCGAAGAAAACCGCCTGGCGAAACAACCAAATTCATCACTCTCCTTTTCCCTTTAGCTCCACCTCACACATTAATCAATTTTATTGTTTAGTATTGTTTCAGTCTATAGGGTATGGTATTTCGAAGGGGACATTTAATACCAACGGATACATATAGTACATATAGAGCAGTAAGTGCAAAATTATTATGAGTATCATTCTAATATTTCTATTAAAAAAATGGCTTTATAAGAATTTATCAAATGAGAAATATCATCAATTTCAAAATCCATTGGGAACATGTCAAGAATAATTTTATCCACTATCTATGTCCCTGCACTTTTATATAGTCTCCAAGTAAAAGGTGAACATTCAGGAGGAAAGAAGGATATAATTCAGAAATATGCGAGCATGTTATATAGGTTTGTGGGAATAACACTGTCATCTTCCTCAAAGGAATCAATAAGAGGAATCAATACCAATGAAGATAACTCGACTTTTTATTGGAGAAAATTGTCAAAGAGCCCACACATCCTGCGAAAATACATATGATTCTCCGAATGACAATGAATGAAACATGAGAGCGGTGGAATCACCATTGCTAAACACCATGTGTGCTATGCTTTTGGCATTTGAAAAATTATATTGCTTGAAACCGCTGATTCCTAATACACTTTGTAAATTAAACTTAATCAAATATAAAAACTCACTTTATCAAGGACAATTGAAAATTTTCGCCGTAAGAAAAAAATTAATTGACAATAATAGAAAGACCTATAATAGAAAAAAGCATATTGAGTGTTTAATAGGCAGTGTAAAACAGCGGATATTACCATCGGTCATTTCCTGTCTCTCGGACTATCTGTCGAAAGTATTTTCTCGCGTCCGATTATAACCAACTACCGCTACTACAAACGATAAGAGGGATAAAATTATTGACAAAATAGAACCATTACCATTCATAAGACCGAGCTCTATAGAGATTGTTCCAATTCCATAATAGAACGATTTGGAGAAGAGGACTCATTCATTAGAATTTTCATTTCTATGATCTTCAATCAAGCATAATAACCTTCATCTACATTCTGCAATAACTACTGCTTGATCATTAAATACAGCAGTTAGCCACGTTTCATAGTCTTTTATTTTAATTGTGTTTAATTACTCTTGCCTCATTAATACCTCACGAGAATGTCAAATTTTCACTATAAATAAATATTTTACACTCAAAAGAATATAAATAAATCAATGGAATTCTCTCCATTTTGTTGTTATCTATTGGAAAATGTGCACGGTACCTGAAAAATAAATAAGGGCTTTTTTTTTCTTGTTAAATCCATTAGAATCGTCCATTGGTCACATTACCGCTACACAAGTGGTATCAGAGATGCATAGTCAGACTAGCGTCGTTCACGCTACGATTCAATCCGATCAATTAGAACGACTAATTACTCTAGTGAAAAATGACAAAACAGATTTAAAATGAGGTGAAATGAGTGAAACGAGTTGGCTGACATTATATTGACTTGCACACTTTGCACTACTTACCAAGCGAAGAATGCATTGTTTCCAAGTAGAATAATTTTTTGATAAAATAGTAGTAAGTATTGATATGAAATGATGGTGACTCACTTGAATTAATTGTAGTCGAATGGATGAATGATAGGGGACGGAGGATTGAAGTGACGAAGAAAAAAGTAGGCGCGTCTGAGTGATACTGAACAAGTTGGGAATGCCGCGTTTGGACGGTAGAGCCGACTGGAGCACACTGGAGCACACTGAACCACACTGGAGCACACTGGAGCAACTGGAGGAGACTGAAGCGCAACAGAGCGCACTGCGCCTACTCCACCTACTCCTCCTACTCCGCCTACTCCACCTACTCCACCCTACTCCACCCTACTCCACCCTACTCCACCCTACTCCACCTATCACCAACCGATCGCTCATCTCGCCCGCGACCTACGAAAATCCATTAACCTCCACTTTTTAAACAATCACTATTGACCACACCTACCAATCCAACCATCAACCCATTCTCTCTTCAAAATATAATATCACTATTCCAAGCCCACACCACATTACCTATTGTCTCTTCATTTATTCTAATACATGTCTTCCAGTGAACGAAATAATATGACAGCTACAGAACGGCTAATGAATCAATGAATTCTAATTGCAGGAGCTTTTTTTGCCAGCTTGGATACTTGGAAAAACTATTACTATTACTATTACTGATTATACCCTATCAGTGAAAGTGACAGCCTCAACCAAACAACTTCCATCTGCCAATATCATTTATATTAAATATTTATTATATAAAAAAGAAAAAAACATACTAGAAAATTTAAAGAGAAATAAGTATCAATCTGTGCTTTTCTGACTCTAAAATCACGATTGCCGCCATATCCCACGGAATTTGTGCATGTTTTTATTGGATCATTATTCAATAGACGGTCGGCCCATCGTCGACGAGCGACTTCAATTTGTGGCTCTGGATAATGGACACGGCCAAATCCGCTTCTTTTTTTTTTTAATCGAGTGGTTGATGGCAGATTTTAGAAGGAAAATGTAACAGCCATCAACCATCTCAATATAGACGTCTCATAGACCATTGTAAAATTTTGATAAACGAAGAAAAATAGCAAAAAGTGGAAAAATAGTTTCCGCCATAGCCTGAGGAATGTGAGTTAAAATTTTCAGGGAAGGAAAAACTGATAGTCCCCACATATTTTACCATCTCTTTATAAAACATCAAAAAAAAGTAGAAAGTGAGCGATAACCTCTCGGATAATATCTTTGACCTTCGGGCGTAGTAATTCCAGAATTATGTGCCCTCTTGCGACGTTTCTCATTTTTCGTTTTTTTTTTTCCTTATCATCCACTTGTGTCATTCCCACCCACTGCTCTGCCACTCTCGTCGCTGGTTCGGCCTCTAGGGCTTATTTTTTTTCAATTTTCCACGTATTTAGTGGGACTTGGGTAATGATAAGCGAATCAAAGTACGAGTGGACTGCAACGAGATTTCAATCATCCTGAAAAGAGCGTGGGTGGACGATGGAAATAACTGGAAAAGTTTTGTGCCAATTACTTTGGCACATAAATTAAGAAATTTATACAAACGAAATTACTCGTAAAGTCAATCGTGACGAAATAATCGAAGGTTTTATGCCATAAATGAAATTTTTCATTAACATTTTCGATCGTCTAATCAATAAAACATTATTACGTTGTACTTGAACAAATATCAATCCTGATAAAAAGTAGAAACAGAAATATAGCGTATATCTAATAGCAGAAAAAGATAAATTGATTTCAGAAGGAATGGTTGTAACGCCTGCCAGCTTACCAGCAGTACGGATTATGTACCGTCAAATGCGGCAAATACAAACAAACTCGGATGTTTACAGGTTAAACGCCTTTGCCCAATTCATGTGAACTTGCTACGAAATTAACGGTTTTAGTCTTAACCCCATATCATCAAAGAGAAATTCGCCAATGTAAGTGATTTCCCAAACTACCACAAGACGCTTATGCACTACTTGGAAAACGGATTTAAATGTAAGAATTTATCACTTCTCATAACTCAAAGTGGAACGTCTAAATGAGCCTGCAAATCGTTAAAGATTTAAATACTGAGAGGACTGTAATTGGATTAATTACATAAATCAATTATCCGGTAGGAGATTCACACTGGAAAAGTTTACCTCGTCACAATATCAATCGGTCACGCAGCCATAATTACAACGGTTATTTCCGAACGAATCAGTTTCGATCAGTTGATTTTTCTTCAATGCTCGATTCTATTAGGATAACAGGAGAATCAAGGAGGTATTTTGTGTAATTTAATATGAGATAAAATTGCAAAGTCATTTGTTTAGTTTATTGTGCGCAACTGCGCACGTTTAGAACCTAGTTAATATGAAAGTTTAAAAACAAGAAAATACAAGGTTCCATGGAATTGAGATCAATTTATCTCCTGTTCGATTTCCTCCTTAGGAGTAAAGTACATAGAGTCAAGGAAGGACCTTGTTAAATCCCCCACAACACTTCGATCAGCGATGGTTTGGCTCATTCCATACATTGCAAACTGAAATTAAATAAATAGAAAATTGGTAGTAAGTAGACTGGACTCTGTTTAACTTAATAGCAATAATAATAATAATAATAATAATAGTAATAATGCCAAGATCCAAGTACCATTCCTTCGACGGGTTCTCCTGGGTGTTTTTGAATTTCTATGAGAATATTTCTGACATCATTCAAAAATTCATCAGCAACGCCAAACTCCGTGTGAACATGAGTAATACAAATATGAATGGCACTTGGAAATTGAAGAACATTGAGGTTCCATCCCCTTGCTGCCAGAGCTTCAGAGAGTCGATAAATGTGGAATTGGTTAGAACCCAGTGCGATAACAGAGGTAGTTGGACTACCAAAGATGAATATACCATTCATTTTTCTCAATCTGAAAATAAATTGATGAAACATGAGGTGGAGCTCTTGCTTAGGGGTTGCAATAAATTATTAACTCACCCGGTTTCTATGTATCTCGCGGTTTCAATTATTTTTTTCGTTGATTCCAAGTATCCACTGTAGCCAAAGTGCATAAATGAAGCCCAGCAGGCAGCAATTATTCCACCAGCACGAGAACCATTGACAGTCGGTGAACCATAAATGCCACCTGGCCAGTCGGTTGTTATCGTGAATTGATAGTGTCTGTACTTTTTCTCTCTGTAAAGGATTACCGATGAACCCTTTGGCGCATATCCATACTGAGGGAGAAATAGTTATTATTATAAGATATTTATAAACCAAAGTAGATTTATAGACAACTTTGTGATAAAAGATAAAAATATTCAAGTACTTTATGCGTGTCTGCCGATATACTAGTCACTCCTGGTAACTTGAAGTCAAACGTTGGCACGTTAAAACCAGCGTCAGGCATAAAACAGAGCAAAAATCCACCTAAGCATGCATCAACATGCACTGGAATATTGTACTTCATCCCAAGCTCTGAGATAGCCTCAATATGATCAAACGTACCATAAGGAAAATTCGGAGTTGACCCGACAAGCTGAAACAAATCCAGTATCATAAAATCTTATTACTCAGTAACTCTCGTTGAGTTTAATTAGTACTTTACCATAATAGTATTCTTATTGATAGCTCTCTCCATATCACTAATTTTAACAGTGCAACTGTTCGGATTAATTGATACTGATCGGACCTTAATATTTAAATATTGAGCTGCTTTGTCAAAAGCTGAATGAGCCGTCGACGGTACTACCATTTCAGGTTTTTTTATTCCCTTAATATGCTTTGCATAGTCTCTGAAAGCTTTACAAGCCAATAGAATAGATTCTGTGCCTCCAGTTGTCATCTGAAACGACAAAATCAATCTATAATTTTTCCGCTAGTCTTATTATTGAACAGTATCTTGGTAAGTAAGGAGCATAACTAAGTCGTTATAGACCTGTTTTGCTATTGTTTTGCGTTTGCCAAGTGGTCTATTATCAAACATTTTATATTTCATTAATTAAGTGAAAAATAAGGAACTCACAGTTCCACAAGCAGCCTCATCTCCGTGGAATAATTTGCATGAGATCCTTACGATCTCAGCCTCCATTTTACACACACCAGGGAATATATCTGGATGCAATGGATTTGTATATGATGCAATACCATAGACATCCGACATCAATTTAATAAGTGCCTTGTCGTGTCTATAGACAGCACCTGACACTTTACCATTTTGCCAATCAAATTCTCCTGACAAAAAAAAATGACCAATTAAAGGAAAAATAAAAATACCGTGCCTTTTCTCGTAGTTTACCAATATTATAAAGGAATATACTAGCTACCCAATTGAATGTACTTCTTCACTGCCCCAATGACTTGCTCGTGAGTCAAACCATTAAATGGGAGTTTTGTGACAAATTCAATATTTTTTACTCTATCCAAAGATTCTCGCTCAAAAGTGCAATTTAATGCACTCAATTCCTTCTCAATTTTTTGACGGACTGACGGAATACACCGAACTAATTTGAATATTTGTCTTCTTCCTCTCTCGATGAGGCTCTCATCTTGGTAGAAAAAGTTCCATAGCCATACTGCACTCAGAACTGAGCCTGTTGTTATTGTGACGATTTTCCAAGGCTCCTTGTCTTTGAACGTCTCGTTTACTAATTCTTTCATAGTATTCATTATTTATTTGGATTTTTTTTACTGCGCAAAGAAAATAGTAAATAATTTAGTTTTTTTAATTGGATGTGATACGTCTCCATTTCCGTATATCCAACTCTTATCACTCAGCGGTAGATAACCATATTTTTGTTCAACACGGTCAAATACAGATATTTTTTTGCCAAGAGAAAAAAAGGCTATAATTCAAATAATAACAACAAATAATGCTTCGAAACTTTGAAGACTTGTAGATCTATTGTTTTAATGACAATTATTCACAGAACACACTAGCTTATATTGTCAAAATCCCATCAATCATTATTTTTATTAAAAAATAGGTGTAGGTGAATATATTACGGGTTCAATAGTAAATAAAAACTTACTTGTTTTGCAGTTCGAGTACAATATGGGTTTTCATAAGCTTCAGTTTGTGCTTCAACGAATGGAGAAATTTACAACTTTGGGCGAGTAAAAATAAACGATAACAGGTGTTTCCGAGGAGTTGAATCGTTAGTTGGCATATATACGTCTACTAACTATAGGTATGCACTGGCGGCGGTGACCTAGAGAACAACAGCTGATTGAGAAGAGAAAAAAATGATTACTAACAGAAAGAGAGGGAGAGAGAAAGAGAGAGGAATGAGTCTGACAAGTAGTGACACACTGGGAATTATTGCGAAGTGAGCGCCACCAACAGTGAGTCTTATACATATAGTCCAGTCGATATTCGTACGTAAACCGAATTTCCCTGAATTCAATCAACATTTTTATTTATAGCAATTGTTTTTTACCCATTGAAACTCATTACTTTAAAGTGAAAATCAATGATCCGAGAAATTGGACTACCAGGCCGACCATCTGATGTCTGTTGTTCACGTGACGCCCAAAAAAAGACACCAGTTTTGCATGTTGAGAGCAACAAGTTACATAGACATACGGATTGGAGAAAATTCCGTGAAAGAAGAATGAATCCCCCCGATTTCACCCCTATTATAGCCAAATATCCTGCATTATGAGTTAAGTGTATGTGGATACTGAACCTATATAGATAGATTAAATTCTGTTGATTTGAATTAGCTTAGAGGTGACATTGGAAGTAAATGGTTACCGCAATGGTCATTGCAAATGAAGTAGATACATGATTTAGTAATCAAAAGAATTGAACACTTGTTATTTTACCCTCGATGTCTTTTACCTTCAACAACAACTCAATATACCAAATTTATGCAAAAATATTAGGAAAAGGTTTTTTTGTCATGTTTAACATTAATGAAAAAAAAAAGAGGAATGAAAAAAAAATTTATGATAAACATTGGGTGGAAATGAGAAACTAAAGAGAGAAATATTGATGAAATTGGTAAATGTACTTGATTAAGATGGCACACAAGTTGAGGGTGTGGTGGGGATGAGAGAATAAGTTGCTTTAACATACCTCTACATACCTCTATGCACTAGTAGTTAAGTTCAAGCGTCGTTCTCAATATCTTGGTAAATTTTACTCTTTCCTTAAATGCTAAGCAATTGTCACATATTCATTCAACCCATTAGTATAGATAATTGTAGGTAACGAGTGTAGTCGTACTGTAAATGGCTATTCTTAACTAATCTATTAATTGATTAAGCTATCGCATTTTTCTCGACGTTATGATATCATCGCATCATCACCTGTTCCATCGAGTTATACAACCGTGACATCATTTGCGTTATTCATAACTCCCTTGTTGACACTTGGCAGAAGGGATTAAATGCATTTTTCTGACGTTTCTTACTTCTTCTGTTCTCTATAATAGACATATTTTTTTTTTAACGATCTTGTGCTCTATGTGATCACACCTGTCCTCTATAGCACTACTATTTAAAATGCTATTCTCCTCAAAAACATATCCCTAAGCTATGCATATCAATACATGCATTTTTTTTCAATTAAAATTTTGAAAATTATTCAATATAAAAAAATGATATTCATTTGTACACATCTACTCAAAAAAATTCAATCCATCCACCCACTCACTACTCCTCATTTTAAACCAACAAATATTCAAATAAATTATTGAAATTTTTTTTTTATATGAAAAGATAACATTCATATGTGTAAGATAGGCAGGCGTAACGCGCCATATTGCGCTAGTACAAATAAATAATTCAGCAGAGTTGACACCCCTAAGAATCTCGTGAATATGGTCAACAGAGTTCACTCATTTTTTTTAATTTTCAACTTGCTGCGTAGCTTGTCTACGAGGATCGATAGAACACATGCGCTCTCAGCATACCGAGATTTTCTTTCGTCACTACAAACTCCAGACCATCTACTAAATATTAGAAGCAGCTCCTTCGATATGCATCAAACCATTTTCACCATAATATCCTATATACCTCTGTGAAATTATCAATTTGAATCAGCTCGCCATAGCATACTCAAAGTAAAGTCAATACTCACGAAAAATCAACAGAAAAAGACACTCTGTATATAAATAAAAAATCTGGGTGAGTTTGAATGCCATTTATGTTAATTCAAATAATTTTTCAAATAATCGATCGAGATAATAACGTGAGTGATCGATTCATGTGATAGCTATTTATAGATGTGAAATAGTGGTGGTTTTGGAATCTTAGTCAAGTCATCTTCTATTTCCGATTCGAGTGGGTACATTTGAAAGTTGAGAGGACGTTGTGTATATTGCTTGTTCAGATGATGATGGAGGACGTAAAGCCATCGAACGGTACGAGCAACTCTATAGAGCACATTAGTAATGAAGTTGCTAATGTGAAAATAGAAAATGGAAGGGAAAAATCTTCACCAGGCAGCCCAGCCCCTGGATGTGTGCATGTGGCAGGGACGGGGAGTAGTGCATCGATCCTCACAAATTTCAAAGCGTTCTCCAAATTCGGAGATACCAAAAGTGATGGTAAACATATTACGCTCAGCCAAAGTGATAAATGGATGAAACAGGCGAAAGTCGTCGATGGAAAAAAAATTACCACCACAGATACTGGAATTTATTTTAAAAAACAAAAGTGAGTAATAATTAATAATTGATATGTCAAAGAATGATTATACTATACTATATAGGAAACAGCACTAACATTTAGAATGACATAATAATTTATGACATAATGATTTATTTCAAGATCTATGAAATTGAGTATGGAACAATACAAAGCATTCCTGGAGGAATTAGCCAAGGCAAAAAAAATTGAACTCACTGAGATAAAAAATAAAATGGCAAACTGTGGACCACCCGGAATTACATCATCAGTGGTTGTTAGTATTTCCTCAACCTTTGAATGTACACTTAAAGATAAATCCTTGTATATGGTATAATCGATTTCACAGGGTCCTAAGGCAGCCTCAGCAGTTGATAGATTGACGGATGTGAGTAAGTATACAGGCTCTCACAAACAGCGTTTTGACGAAACAGGAAAGGGCAAAGGAATTGCCGGTAGAAAGGACATACCAGATGCCTCCGGCTACGTGCAAGGCTACCAGAATAAAGACACGTACAAAGGGCAATAGCTATCCTACTAATAGTGAAGATTATGACAAATTCACCATTTTTATTCCGTTATCAATTTTATTCCGTTTATCGGAAAAATTAATGATATATATTCAAGGCGAATCATATTGGGCGCCGAAAAAATTTAATGGTGGAGAGAGTTTGTGGCAATGCGCCAATTAAAATACCATCATACCACTAACCCACTAAGTTATTTATATTTCAATTCAGAAAGTTATTCAGAGAGTTATTCCAACAAAATAGTCACTTTAAATGTCGATCCTTAGAAATTATTCTGCATAACTCTTTTTCTCTATCTCATTATGTTATATTGATTTTAATGCCATTTCCAAATTAAACTTTAGCTCTATCATCTAATCATAATAATTGACGAATGAAAGATATTATTAACCGAATCGAAAACTTGAAAAAACTTGATTAATAAGTAAATAATAAAAACCGTCAGGGGCAATAAACTCTGCGGGCATAGAGCAGTATACCCATTTGTGATCCATATCGGTACAAAAAAACTACATTTATACTAATTATATTTAATTTACGAGTACAATTTATTTTCACAATGTTATTATCATGTAGTACATACATTCTTCCATTATTAAATTCATTATCACGGTTTTACAATTGTTAACCCTCTTATTCTAAGCATTTCTTTATTAATTTTACCATAATATTCTTCATCCGATATGACTGCAGACGATGGGGAATGCGATGGATTATAAACAGGCATCAGCTGAGTAAATAATTTAGTAGTGTTCCCATAATAATCTAACTGATTAAGAATAAGAGCATGTACACTGGGTTTTATGTACTCTAAGCGTTTTTCGAGGAACCAAGGAAGTTCAATGAGCAATCGAGAGTGAATGAGTTTTAATTCCCTAGCCGCAATTTCCTCGCTTCTCCTCTCACGCTCTAATTTCGCTATATGACTCGCAGTTCTGTCCTTCTTCTCTTGGAATTTCTTTATTCTGGTATACCAGCCTTTCCAAATCCCTACCAATTCCTCTCTCTTCACAAGGGCATCAGCAACCAAAGCAAACTCATCCCTAAGTTTTTTTAGCGGCTCTATGAATGTTTTACCAATGAGAACCGAAAAATCCTGAACCGTTTTGCCAACTTGACTCATTACCGAGTGATAATCCTCCACTATTCTTCGGAAGTCATCCGAGAGATGCGCTAGACCACTTGTACCCAGGTTCGATGATAATCGCTGATCCACGCGGTCTAAATTTATTATGGCTTCAACGTATCGTTTTGCTTCTTTGGTCAGTTTCCGAATAGTTCCCTCAACACTGCAAAAACGAGAGCGCTTAAATTTCGATTATTCTCGACCTGCCCATTATTTATTTTATGAATAATTTTTAAACTTTAGACTCTTAATAGTATTTGGTATTTGGCATATTTCAAATTGTTCGCAGCATAGTCACAGAATTGCCCTCATATGGATATTTCCATTAGTATTCTATAACTTATTATAATATTTTCCTACTGGCTTAATCTTTGTACTGCAATATCCAGATCTCGATCATCATTGGGTGATATCAGTGGAGGTGCTGGAGTTGGCCTTACAGTCAGATAATTCTTCTTCCTTGGATTCCTAAATATAGAATAAAGATAGAATTTCGAGATATATACCCCATTAAAATAATTCATATAATGTGTAGCTTACCAAGTCATTTTTTCTGTGCCTGGCTATTCAGGGTATGTCTCAAGTCTTCTTATAAGAGAGAAAACATTTAGATATCTCTTTTAAGTGCGTCCAAGGGTGTTGTTGGACTTGAAACAACGATCAGAAACAAATATGGTTGTTCTAGATGTCATTGGGGAAATACTGATTTCATCACGCCAAGTTTTAATCCAAAAACTGATATTAAATCACATTACACGGTTCGCTCTTCGTTTTGTTTTCTCTTTCCTGTCAGTTACGTGTAAAATAAATTGGCGCACTCTCTCGACGACACTCCACAGGTGACCCCAGCGGCATCGTAGTACTGCACCCCAAGAGAGGGAGGGCGCCACACGCAATGCTGGGGTTCGATCCCGCCAATATTTATTTATTTTTTTTCTAAATTATTTTCTTTTTTTTTTTTTTGTAAATGGCTAATCAATGAAAATATTGTTTAAAAACTGAATAATTAAAAATCGAGAAGATATCCAGTGAAATTGAAAAATTCTAAATTTTTGAAAAGTATACTTCTGCAAAACATATACTCCTAATGAAAATTTATGTTTAAAATGCGCGTGTTGAGTAATCGGCAACGTGCTTGGCTAGCACGCCGAAGGCTGGGGTTCGATCCCGCCAACATTCATTTTTTTTTTTTCAAATAATTCCTATTTTTTTTTTGTAAATGACTAATCATTCGAAATATCGCTTGAAAATTGAATACCTCCTCGACGTTAATATTTCCCTGATACTTTTTCAAAAATTTCGAATTTTTCAATTTCAGTGAATAGCTCTTTGATCCTCATGTTCCCCTGATACTTTTTCAAAAATTTCGAATTTTTCACTTTCGGCGAAAATTTCAGTGAGTAGCTCCTCGATATTCATGTTCCCCTGATATTTTTTCAAAAATTTCGAATTTTTCACTTTCAGTGATAATTTCAGTGAATAGCTCCTCGATGTTCATGTTCCCCTGATACTTTTAAAAAAATTTCCCAAAAAATTAGCCAAGCACGCTGCCGATTAGACAACACACTCATTATTAAAATATAATTTCATTAGTAGTATATCTTCAATATATTGAAACAGTTTTTCCATTTAAATTTCCACAAGATGTGGCTTCCCCCTTCCGATCGTTCTATAGTCGGCTAAATTTCAGTTAAACAATTAAAAAACAAAAAGCATTCATACTGCAAAAAATAAAATTCACCCCGTCGACTTGATAGACACCCCAGCATTGCAATAGAACCTTGGTTAATGAAAAAAAAACACCCCAGCACTGCATGTGGCGTCCTCCCTCCCTTGGGGTGCAGTACTACTTTGCCCCTGGGGTCACTCAAACTTCCAGAACTGAGCCTCTACTTTAGTCAATCTTCTCTGGTTATTTCCGCACGTTTTCATAAAGATATAAGCAGTTGGCTCTTTTCTTTACACCACTTTATTTTAATATAGTTTATTACCACTAACCTCTCATATTTATCGATTATTTTAAAACTACTCGTTTTGTATGTGTTACTGATTATTCCAGTTTTGTTCTTTTCCAACCTTCAATGATGGAATTAATCCGTTTCATGTGTTATTTACATTATCTTTGTACATTTAAATACGTGTTGACTGGCTTGGTTGATGCTTGTTCACGACAACATGTTTCATGATGGCGTCCACAAACACGCTCGATGGATTTTCTGTTTTCAAAATAGAAATACGAAAGAAGAGAGTACAGACAAATGAAGATGAAACGTACAAAAATTGAAATGATCAATGCAACCGTCGAGTCGTACTTGAAACGTCGTCGTTATCAGGTAAATTCTCGTCACTCAATTTCAATACGATCATCAATTACCCTTTACATATCGCGAAACAATTAAACTGCAAGTTTGTTAACAAATTTACATTCATGATAGGACAACGGGCTATTTCGTAGAACTGATAGAACTGACTGTAGAAGCAGTGAAGAAATGACTCTATCAGCTAAAGCAGAGAGTGCTGTTTCTCGTGACAACGCTATAGTATTCAGTGCTATAATTAATGATATTGTAACTGCTGATCAAGCTTATCAAAGGTATTGACTAATATTTCTATCTCTACACTCGCAGTTAAACTTATAATTACTTATTAATGTGTTTTTCTATCCATGTTCTTCTTTGCAGATTGAAAGCATGGGTATACTCTGTAAAGGCAGAAAAAATTAAACATGAGCTCAACGGTCTCTTGTACCCCGTTTTTTGTCATTTATACCTCGAAATACTTCACGCGGGCAATCCACAAGCTGCTCTTCAATTCATGAAGAATCATCAGAACGAATTTGTCCTGGATACCGAGAGAGATTTTCTCGAAGAACTGTCAAGTGTATTTACAATACAGGATATTGAATTACGGCCACTTGTTAATGCATTTAGAATGAGAAAATATAAAGTTGATATGTCTGATGAAGCACATATTTGCCTACAAAAATATCTTACTAAACACGGACATATTATTATAATGCAGGTAACAATGACTTATGTCTATTATGATTAAAATGAACAAAATTGAGCAATCGGAAAATTAATATTCTGTTATGACAAGTAACAATACAAATACAAATATTTACAGATAATAAATATACACATAACTATTATACGAAAAATAATAGATATGACTGTAATTGACGAAGACACTGTTGATCGCACTCCGGGACATGACAGTGGTATTAATGGTCATGTAGAGCAAGCATCAGGCACTGGAGTTGACCGAGAAATGCGTGAGCTCCAGGAATCCATTCGATTAATAAGAAATAATAATATTTGTCAACCTCTGAGAATATTTACCGTTAATAATGCAATAGAGAATGGTAGTTGCGCTAGAATGACACCGAACATGGATAAATTGGTGGCTGGTTTTAACACAGCAGAAATAAGACTTTGGGGTGTTGGGGATACGGTGCTAATGCGCCCAAGGCATACAAAATCGCCTACTATGCTGGATTGTGACTCTGTGTCGACTATTCTACCATTTGAAAATCATCATCAACATCAGATAGAGGAAGCAGGTGCAATTATTCTGAGAGGACACACTGACGTTATTCATGACGTTAAATTTGTCGCTCAATCAACTGTATTGCTTTCCGCTTCCAGTGACAAAGATATGAGAGCTTGGAGCCTCAACGATTACTCTTGTGCTTCTATTTACAGGTCTTTTATTCAAATAAATCAATGTCATTTTTGTTAAAAATACTTCCAAACCAACTCAATTAATGCATAATAATAATTCGAATATATATATATATATATATATATATATATATTATATTTTACAGTGGGCACAATTATCCAATATGGTGTATGGATACGAGTGCTTTTGATTTATACATAGCAACAGGCTCTCACGATCGAACTGCTAAACTGTGGAGTCTGGATAGAAAATTTCCACTAAGAGTTTTTGCTGGGCATTTTCTAGATGTCAACGTAATGATAACTTGATACTTTTTTATTAATTTTTTTTACAATTTACAATTGCCTGAATGTCTTCATTTGTATCCACTCAATTCCAGTGCATAAAATTCCATCCCAATACGAGATATTTAGCCACGGGCTCTGCTGATAAATCTGTCAGACTCTGGAACAAGGACGATGGAAATTTATTGAGGGTATTTGTTGGTGCCCAATCGACAATTTACAGTCTGGCCTTCAGCCCCGATGGAAAATATTTAGCGGCTGCTGGTAATTATATGAGAATGTATGATTAATTTTAAAGTCATTTTAATCATTTTGATTTATCCATTTTTAGGTGATGATAAGTCAATAGCCATATGGGACCTAGCAACAAATGCCATATTGACTGAACTCAAAGGCCATCAAGAGACAATCATGAACTTAGACTGGAGTCCAGATGGTCAGTACATAGCAAGTGGTAGTGCAGATGGTATTGTACGTCTCTGGCCATCAAACGAATACATAAATACTGGCATTAATCCTTCAACAAACACAGCAGGCAATGACATGTCTCAGATATACTCAACAAATTGCTCAAATATCCTGTCACTTCAGTACTACCACCGAAAAAATAATTCACTTGTTTGCATCGGAGTTGTTTAAAATCTGTATGGAATCTCTCTGTCTGTATAAAATAAAACATTACAATTTAACGAAAAATCATAGCAGAAAATTTTCTGTTGTCCTGTTTTCATCTTCATTCAGAAAAGAAATAATGATAATGATAATAATCATGATAAGCGTAATCGTACGTGAGAATGAAAAAATTACATACGCCTCAATGAGAGATACTCTTTATTTCAATCGCCAAGTAATAAGAATTTATAATGACTGGGCTTAAATGATATCTATTTAATTTTCTCATTGATTAATAATAGCAGCATCCTGTGGATATACATCAATCCTGTATATGTACAATTACTCATTCAATACATAAAATCAACAAATTCGCTCCATTGATTTTGTCATTTGTTAGCATTGAATTTTATTCGGATTCAATGTATTCGTATTCAATTATACATGTAATTATTGTTTTCTTTTAAAGTATTTACATAAATTTTCAACTATGTAGAAGGAATTCTACAATCGAGTATTTCTTACAATTTGAGAGTTATTTAAAATTGTAGCAGATAAATCGCTTAGCAATTGAATGGATAACAGTGATGTATTTTTAACATGTTGATATAAATGAAAATTGGCCTTTAAAATCATACATTTCAAAAGGAAAAGAAAAAATACAATACGATAATAATAATAATAATAATAATAATAATAATAATAATAATAATAATAATAATAATAATAGTAAAACATTAGTGATTGATCGTTACGAGTCTAAACATTAATTTAACGACGTATATTTCGAGACACGTTTATGACGAGAATTAAAAAATCACAAATTACAATTACAATATACGAATAAGAGCATTCAAAGAGGATTACCTTAGAGATTTTTAAAGCAGATTAGACTTAATATATTAATTGATAATTCATCGCTTGTATCGTCCTTTAATGAGCTGGAGAGCTTTTGCCATAAGCGGTGCTTTGTTTTTCTTAATAATTCCGGAGGCTGAAAGACAGTTAGTCAATGAGTAAAAGTTGATAATAAAAAAAATAAGTCATATGGAATAATGAAAAAGACTCACATGAAGTTCTAAGCCGTGACATTGGAGGTGAAGGAACAGCAATGTTAGTAGCAGAATGTGCCCCGGTAATGATTTTTTTCTTTAGGTCTGAGGTAATTGTTGATGACCGAGCAGTGCCATACTTAGCCTGCTTTCTTAAAACATTCCTGGGAGGTTTAACAATATTGTCAACAAAAGCCAGTTTGGCAGACCTCACAGGTACAGACTTATCAATAGACTGTTTGATATTAGCAGTCAGAGTCTTCAATTTGGCCTCCCTTTCATCTAGACACCTCATGTACATTTCTCTTGAGCTCTCCATCTCCTCTCTCTGTTTATTCCTGAATTCTCTATTACAATGGAATTGCCAAAGCGAATCAGTATCCTCTATAAGATATGGATTATGATGTTCAAGCATAAAGAGTTGATCAGGTGTAGCCCTCTCCAAGACGGGTTTAAGAATATCGTATGGCACACCTCCAGTCGCTTCTAGCGCATCAATATTCTCTATTAAAACTCTGATGCATAAATCATAGAGACTAGGAACACTGGTGTATCCTGATTTATTGCCTGAGTAAACTTTTGTCCTGATATTCTTCGCATAAATCGCATCATTAAGCACCTTATCCTCCTCCATCTTTCGATTTAATGTATTGAGGTAATTATTGATTGGCAGTGGTTTGTAGTTGGTGCTAATTTCAGGCAGGGTTGATGCAAGATCAACACTCAATGGTTCTAATTTAACATTTGGTCCTAGGAGTGACAATCCATCTTCTTTAGCTAGAATGTCAGTCTTTATTGAATTTGGTTTCGACACCATAGCATTGACCTCTGTTTTTATTTTTATCACTGGTGAACTTGGAGACACTGGAATTGATTTTTTTCGCACATGTGGTGCCGAACACATTCCCAATGCCTCAGCAAATGTTGTCCCTGAGTTGCAATCTATGCCCTCATTACCGTTTAAGCGTTTCTTGATTTTTTTTTCTTCTGAAAATTTGACAACTGTCTTGGATTGCTCCGATTTTGATACGGCAGAATCAGAAAATTTTCCAACTTTGTTTTTCGAGGTTCTAGGATGAGAATAAGAAGAAGAAGATGAAGAAGAAGATGAAGAAGTACAAGAAGAAGAAGAAGATGAAGAAAAAGAAGAAGAACCAGAAGAAGAAGAAGAAGAGGAAGAGGAAGAAGGAGAAGAAGAAGAAGCAGAAGAGGACGAAGAAAAAGGAACAAAAGAGGATGAACCAGTTAAATTATCACGAGTCGAGTGTTTTTTTTTATTCGACTTATCTAAACGATATTCGTGATTGTTTAATGGCGATTTGTCAGTATGTTTTTCTCGTTTCGAATCCTTTCGGTTTACTCTAGATTTCGAAATCAAATTTTCTGTTTTTCTGGTGGGAGAAACGGATGTTGTGTCAACGGAAAATTTCGGATAAATTTTATCATCAACCCTTGAATGTTCATGTGCTGTAGAATTATTATCTTGCCGTTTTTCTGCAATTTTTGATACATTTGACAACTCATATTTTCGCTTTCGATTTTGATCGCTGCCGTTTACCTGTTTGTTTTCTTTTGATAGATGAACATTTGGTTTTGGGATTTCCTTGTTTATGCCATCGGATGGATAAATCTTCTGAGAATCTTGATGCACTTCTTTCCGCGGACCATGTCTCTCTTTCTCCTTCGCTTTCATTGACTTTGATTTCTCTTTGTCATTTTTATTCTTCTTTTCACTTGACGAATCTTGAAATGATTTGCCAGATTTTTTATCATACTCTGATTGAGAATTTCCTTTAAATTTCGAGTTTGAAGAGTGACTGTTGTGCTTGTTCACAGCGCTTTTCTCAAAACTTCTTTCCGACCCTTTGTTTAGTTCACTGGAAGTCGGAGTTTTGTCAATACCAAGATCTGAGTTATCACTGTACGGTTCGGGTACGTCTGGTAGATTCTGATCATCATCGTCCTCGGCATCACTGCTCTCCTCATCCACTACCATTGTCTTCCATTTTGCTACTAGGGCCTTGGATGCGTCACCAACAGTCCCCTCGTATTTTCGAAGGGCATTAACAGTTCTTCCTACTCCTGTGTCCTGCAGATGCTGCACAGTGACTGGAAGTTTGTACAGTTTTTCGATACAGTGCAGAAGCTGGAAATAAACCAGTGATGTATCATTGAAGAGTTGACAAACAGATGGATGTTGTACAATGTCTAAGATATATGCTCTACATATAAGCCGGATGAAAAACATAATTTGTTTTAAAATTTTTAATAATCTTTTTTTAAAGTATAATATTTTTTTGAATTTTATATCATAACATATAGTTGTAATGTGGCAGGCGATATTCCCCAGAATCGCACCACCTTCTTAATTTTTCTAGGTTAGCCAAGTTTTTTTTTTTTTTTGAACCAGTTTTTAAAATGTTATTGTGAAAAAACTTGTCACCTTTTAACATTTTTTAATTAAAAAAATTGATAATGAATTTCTTATTTACCCTGGACTCGTTGTTGGGGCATTTTTCAATACTTTGCTGATAATGCTTTATTTGATTGACAACAGACATATTGCCAAGTGCCAGCTGGTTAGAGAGTACTACTCGAGTCCAATATCCTAGTAATTATTTCTTTACTTTTTTTTTTCTTTACTGAAACATTCCAATAATTTATAGGTGGTAAAGGAAATAGTCACGATGATAACAAGTAGATAATAATAACGATTAATAATTGGATTTTGGGTTTTGATTATACATATGATATATAGATATATATATATATATATATATATATATATATATGTATAAAGTATTTAACCCATGGAGTATATAGAGTGCGTCACACTTGAATGCCTCAATAACCTAAAAAAATGTTTAACAACATAACTACCAAGGTAAACATTAAGTCTCTAAGGATTTATACCAAGTTGGAGAAATAGACTATTGTAATGGCAAATCCAGTGCGGAACGTACCCATCTCTGAGATTCTAAAGAATAAGACTACATTCGAGGATGAACCGAGGAAAAAATCCCGAGAGGATTGGAGAAAAGCCAAGGAGTTGGAAGAAGCGAGAAAAGCAGGTACAGCACCCGCAGCCGTCGATGAGGAAGGTAAGGACATAAACCCTCACATTCCTCAGTACATAAGTGCAACTCCCTGGTACTTTGGTGCATCTGGACCCACCCTGAAGCACCAAAGACCACAGCCAGAGAAACAAAGGGAGTACAGCAGCCTTGGTGAGTGGTACAAGCGCGGTGTAGATGCATCGAGTGTAGCAACAAAATTTCGTAAAGGAGCTTGTGAAAATTGTGGAGCAATGGGCCACCAGAAGAAGGATTGCTTTGAACGGCCCAGAAAAGTTGGGGCTAATTTCAAAGGCACCAACATCGCTCCTGATGACTTTTCACAACCTAATTTATCTCTTTCATATGATGCTAAACGGGATCGATGGGCGGGCTACGATCCAACGGATCACAGAGCCTTTGTCGAAGAGTATCAAAAAATTGAGGCGTGTAAAAGACAAATGAGAGCTGAAAAATTAAATGCTGAGGAAAGCGATGAGCAAGATTCTGATAAGGATGAAGATAAATACGTCGATGAGGTGGACATGCCGGGAACCAAAGTTGATTCCAAACAGAGAATCACTGTGCGAAATTTACGAATTAGAGAAGACACCGCTAAGTACTTGAGAAATTTAGACAGCAATTCTGCTTATTACGATCCGAAGACCAGATCTATGAGGGATAATCCATATGCTGGAACGGAAAAAGAGTACAACATTAATTTACTTAATTTATGTAACCAATTAAGTGTGGTCAGATACATATTTGAAATACATTTTTATCTTGTACATTTCAGAGTGGATTATAAAGGCGAAAATTTCGCACGTTTTTCTGGAGATACTCAAAAGCATGCAACAGCCCAATTATTCGCTTGGGACGCTTATGAAAAAGGTGTGGATGTTCATTTGTTAGCTGAGCCCACTAAATTAGAAATGTTGAAGCAGGAGTATGATAAAAAACGAGATGAACTGAAAAATGAAGCTCGAGGTAGTGTTGTGGACAAATATGGAGGTCATGAGCACCTTCAAACACCTGATCCATCACTTTTGCTAGCACAAACTGAAAATTACGTTGAATATTCAAGATCGGGAAAGGTATAATCTTATTGTATTTCAATTACTCAATAATAGCTATTAATACTTCCCTCTTATTCCTTTTTTTTATGTGATTAATTGTTATGTGTAGGTAATTAAAGGTCAAGAGAAACAAGTAATTCGCTCTCAATATGAAGAAGACGTGTTTCCCAATAATCATAAGTCAGTTTTTGGTTCTTATTGGCGCGGAGGTTATTGGGGCTATAAGTGTTGTCACTCATTCATAAAAAATTCCTATTGCACCGGTGAATCCGGAAAACAGGCACTTGAATCCTCCCAAGCACTCCAAGCAACTCCACCTGCATCCCAGATTAATGGAGAATCAGGGACACAATTGACTGGAGCTGATAGAAATACCTTTAATGATTTTGAAAATGATAAACAATTAGCCAGTGAGCACTCTTCAAGTAATTCATCATCAGATGAGGATTCTCGAAGCAAGACCGAACGTAAATCAAAGTCGAAGAAGAACAAGAAAAAAAAAAAGAAGCAAAAGGAAAAACTGAAGAAAAATAAAGGAAATGATGAGGAAGTGGATTCTTTAAAAGTGGCATTGGAAAAGGAAGACAAAAGTCAGCGAGAGGCAGAGGAACTGCTGAAGATGGATGAACGTAAGAGACCTTATAACAGTATGTTCACAGCTAAGGAGCCTACAGTTGAGGAGATTGAAGCCTTCCAAATGAAGAGGCCCAGGGAAAACGATCCAATGGCTAATTTTACCTAAATATCAATTTTTTAATGTATCGTTTCATGAAGAATCACAATAATTACATTTGTTAATCTACCCCAATTATTTAAAATTATATTTTTAATCGCCCCGCGTCCCATCATTAACTGGAGTAGGCTGATTATTTTTTAATCAGCGGTGAGGAAGACTAAGTGGTGTAAGTGAGCGATCGCAACATCGTGGATTACCAGAAAAACTCCTCGAAGAGTTTACAGTCTGAAGGCCAGACAGTAAATCCGACCTCACTCACCGGCAGGGCTATCGTCGATTTTTCAAGTCTATTATCGGTATATCGTATTAGCTGCAATTACATTGTATTGTACGTAGCAAAGAGGATTGACTAAAGTAGAGACTCAGTTCTGAGGGTTTGAGTGACCCCACCCGCCCACCGTCATCGTAGTACTTCACCCCGAGAGGGAAAGGGCGCCACACGCAGTGCTGGGGTGTCTGCCCGTCAGCCGACTCGGTAACTACCTCAATAGCCGGCCCGCTGTCAGAGGGACAAGTCGAAGGGATGAATGTTATTTTCTGTGGTAGACACCCCAGAATTGCATGTGGCGCCCTCCCTGTCTTGGGATGCAGTACTACGATGCTGCTGGGGTCATTTAAACTCCCACAACTGAGCCTCTATTTTAGTCAATCCTCTTTGGTACGTAGAAACGAATATCGCTGGTAGCGCTTACGGTGAGCGGGGTCAGACTTACAGTCTCCCTGAAGTAATCCAAAACTCCAATAACTGAGCCTCTACTACAGTTTATCCTTTTTGCTGCAAAGTCCAAAGTATGGCATCATTTCGCATTATAAACTCCAAGGTGGTGGTGAGCTCAGTGGTAAATCTTAAGTTTCACGAGCATTTCCGAAATCTTTACCACTGTAAAAAAATGAAGGTACTCAATTAAATTATCCTATTGCAGTTAATAGTTTCACAGTTTATCTATATTGTAATATCAAGTAATCTCTTTCCGTGCCGGTTGTTCTCTTTAAATTGTTGCACAATCACCACCAAAATTCATACTGCTTTCTTGGTGCTTACGAAAATGATCAGGTTATTCTTTTTTTTTATTCAAAGTTTTTGCAAAGTGAAACGACAAACGAGCTTTATTATCGATTTCTACATAATAATTCATTGATATTTTCGCGCATCACTTATATAGACATTTCTGGACGTTTAACGCAATTGATCCATTGATAATTTAGTCCACGGCCGACCTTGACGTTGACTCTATATATGAATCCATTCCCTAGAATTAGTGCAATTCTGGAAAAGACTTCTTTGATATTTCTATTTTCTATTTATTCTCAATGATTTTTCTTTTTTTCACCATTACTAACAGAAAGGATTGGTCCTCGGTGTTTATGAGGGGGAGAAAAATGACGTTGTTCTCACACCATCGGCTGCCAAGTACAACGAGCTCGTCAATGGAAAACTACTGGAAAACATTTCCTTGTAAGTTGCATGAAAGTAGAACCTACTTTATCTTGTCCATTAATTAATTAATTGTCTACTTTATGTGATATTATTCACTCTTGCACTCGTTTTTCCTTTTTTTTGTATCCACCTATTGTGGCACATCTCTCCCCCCCCCCTCCCTTCCTCCCTCCCTTCCTACCACCATTGCTGCCACCACCCTATCATATAATTCCTTATCTACAGTTAATTTTGGAAAATTCTGATATGTTTCTTCTTCCATTGCCTTTCTTTGTTGCCAAAAAGCTTGCTCTCAATTAATTCAGAGTAGCATCCAATGGAAAATTCTATTGAAAGAAGGAAACTGAGATAAAATTGACTTTCGTTTGCATTCAGTTGTTTATTTCATTTTATGACTATGTGCGATTTATATAAATTAGGAAGGAGAGGAGGAGATGGAAGATGGACATGAAGATTATTATGGAAATGAGCACAGTGAATTTGTTTCTTTTTTCGCAAATTATTTTGTAAATTATCGATACTCTACCAATTATTAATTAAAAGGTTCAAGAGCAAAGTGTACGTGTATTGCTTATATATATATATATATATATGTATAAAATAATATTGGTAAAGTCATTGATAAATCATAAATATTTACAGTATATATCTCTTTATCAGTCGCACGAAGGACTGTTATATTTCAATTTGATAAGAGAAAAGTATGCTGATAGTTGATTAACATGCCGGGCATAGCCTGGCATGGCAATTAATCTGCACCTCAACTACACTAACATCATAAATTGCTTCATATTATTAATGAAGCCTCTTTGTTACTAACAATAAAAGATAAACCCTGAAACAATTTTTATAATGCTACCTGAGCTTCACCCATTGCGACAGTCAATCAAAATTCAATATCTACATTATTTTAATTTGCAATTTTCACTATAAATTCCACATTTAGTCTCTATAATATTTTTCACATACACACACACACACGCGCGCGCGAATACAAATAACAAATGTGTGGGTGTTTTTTTTTAGAAATGCCACAATACGATTGTTTATTCCGTGTTAAGAGCTCACTGGCATTATTTTGATTGTTTCAGGAGGGGCTAGAGTACGTGAGAAGTGTTTGAACCCTCGAAGTAATAACAAACCAAAAGAAGGAAAGAAAAAAAAAAATAAATAAAATAATTCACATCGTCAAGATAAATGTGATAGTCTAATCACGAGTATCGAGTATAAAATAAAAGCGTCGTGACAATTGGCATAATGGGCAGTAAATCCAATTGAATAATATAAGTGTCCTACATTATAGCAACAAATATAATATCAATATATACCCATAAAAAATGACCACCACTCCAGGAAATAGCGCAGCAGCTGACGGCTCTGGGAATTCAATAAACAAACGTCATGTCCCAAGTACGAATGTTCTTTACGGTATTGGCGGATCAATTGAGGACAAGAATAGTGATTACCTTTGTCCAATTTGCTTCGAAGTAATCGATGAAGCTCATATAACGCGCTGTGGTCATACCTTTTGCTACAGATGCATCACCAAAACATTAGAAAGCCTTGGAAGATGTCCTCAATGCAGCTTCACTCTTGGCCAGCAAGATATATTTCCAAATTTTCTTTTGAACGAACTCGTTTCAAAATATAAGATGAGAATGAAAGGAATTGGAGAATTGGGTTGTGCCCATGGAGGCGAGGGTAGAAGACGAGGGAGTGGTTCAGAATCGTCAGTGACTCCATGCGATGGGCTGCGAGATTTTGTAGCAGCAGAGAGTGCAAATTTAACACTACCTGACGTAAACGTCATGTTAGAAGTTTTAACCCAAAGGAAACTATTGCTTGAAGCAGAATCATGTGCAGCTCAAAATAAACTTCTGCATGAATTCTTGAAGCATTTACTTCAGCAAAAGGAAGAGCAACGTAATCAATTACAAAAGGAGGTTGCTCTTATAAAACGAGATATGGATGAAGTCGAATTAATACTCAAAGACGTTCAGAGCAAGTGTCCTCGTATTGAAGATCTTAAACGAACAGGGGAGAATGAGAGTGCTCAAATGTCTGCTATTCGTAAAGAGATGATAGATCTTATTGACATTATTGATTCAAATATGGTAAAACCGGATCTTGAAAAGAATTCTCATAAGTCAGAGTACGCCCCAATATCAACATTGGCAGTAAGACGTAAACGAATGCACGCACATTTCGAGGACTTTGTACAATGTTATTTTGATGCTAGAGCAAAGGATTTACTGCTTGGAGTTGAAAAAAATCCAGTGAATCCAGTAAATTTGTCTCCAATGGACACAGTACATGGCATATCATCAGGTTTAGATATATTCAGAGACAATTTAGTTAAATTTTCCCGTTATAATTCTCTCCGACCTCTGGCTACCCTCAATTATTCATCAGATATTTTTAACAATTCAACCATCGTTTCCAGCATCGAATTTGATAAGGACAACGAATTTTTTGCTATTGCCGGTGTGACAAAGCGTATCAAGGTCTTTGATTATGGTGCAGTTATAAGGGATACTGTTGATATTCATTATCCATGTGTTGAAATGGTTTCAAGTTCAAAAATATCATGTGTCTCGTGGAATTCGTATCATAAGGGGATGCTTGTCTCTTCAGATTATGAAGGGACGGTAACCGTCTGGGATGCAGCAACCGGGCAGAGAACCAAGGCCTTTCAGGAGCACGAGAAGAGGTGCTGGTCAGTTGATTTTAATGACGTTGACACGAGATTGATAGCCTCGGGCTCAGACGACGCTAGAGTTAAACTTTGGTCGTTGAATATTGATCATTCTGTCGCTTCTTTAGAAGCTAAAGCCAATGTTTGTTGTGTAAAATTCAATCCGAGAAGTTCTTGTCATTTGGCTTTTGGCTCGGCTGATCACTGTGTACATTACTATGATCTAAGGAATATGAAGGAGGCATTGTGCATTTTTAAGGGCCATCGTAAAGCTGTTTCTTACGTTAAATTTATAAATAAAGAAGAAATTGTTTCGGCGAGTACTGATTCACAGCTCAAAGTTTGGAATATCAATAATCCACATTGTTTGAGATCATTTGTCGGTCATGTTAATGAAAAAAATTTTGTTGGTCTCGCTACGGATGGTGATTATGTTGCCTGTGGCTCTGAAAACAATGCTCTTTATGTTTATTATAAGGGACTTACAAAACAACTTTTCTCATATAAATTTGATGCGGTCAGAACTGTTCTAGAACTGCATGAGAGAAGAGAGGAAGATCCCAATGAATTTGTATCTGCTGTGTGCTGGAGACAAATGTCTAATGTTGTAGTGGCTGCTAATTCACAGGGAATTATCAAAATTCTAGAGCTCGTTTGAGATGTATATCTAATAATTCCATTATTTTTATGTAATCACACAACGATAGGTCAATAACGATACATTTAAAATATATCGAAATTTATGGAATATCTTTATCAAAATATTTTATCAGAATTAAGCGAGTACATCTGCAACATTAGCTTTATTTAAAAATAATTCTATCAATGCAGATATTGTAATGAATGTAAAATAATATGGTTAATTATTCATTTCAAGACCATAACTTGACTATTAATATAGGATAAAAATTCGTCCCAATTTCAAAAACAATCCCATCCATTTAAATTTTTTCTTTTCCTAATAAAATTATTTACCATCATTTTCATTTATTCTATTCTATGCAAGACAAAAAAACAAATACTTTTCTTATAAATGATAAATGCTTCCAACGTTACTTTTTGTTTAAATAAATTTTACATAAACGACAAATGTATAATTATACACATCTGCGCAGTAGACTCCGAATTGAGACCTAGTGTTGTGAAAATTTAATGTGGGGTTCAGGAAAAATCGACAAATTGTGCGGATGAAATGGAATGAAGGAAATTCCGATCGAAGATAGATTATTATATTTTTAGATTGTATTTTGAGAGATAAAGATTACATCTGATGTTTCATGAATAGACCTAATGTAATTAATAAACATCATCCACAAAATAATGTTCAATTGCATTGTTTATCCATTTATCAATTACTGATTCACTATTATTTTCGTCAATCTATTACCTTCCAGTCATAATTTTGCTTCTCTTCTCAATGGGATTTTTTTTTTCATCAATATTTTCAGCAGCGCTGGTCCAATATTAAAGAAATCGAAAACTCGAGTTTTCTGGAGCATGGAAAGTGGTGAATACAATTGTGTAGCTGTAGTTGGCCTTGGCAAGCAGAACCTCGGCTACAACTCACTAGAAGAGATAGATGAGGGAAAGGAAAATATTCGCGTTGCAGTTGCAGGTAGTGTTGTCGCTTTAATTCAGCGGGCTGATGAAATTGAGATTTCATCTGTTTGTCAAATTAATGGCAAAATTACCACCAATAGCACATTGATAAAGTTATAATGTTTCAGCGGGGTGCAGTGCCCTCGATGCCGTAGACATTAAATCTATCGAGGTTGATTCTATGGGGGATGCAGAAGCAGCAGCTGAAGGAGCTATTCTATCTACTTGGATATTTCAAGAATTCAAAAATAGAGCCAACAAAAAAAAACTACCAACGGTTTCGCTATATGGCAGTGAAGAAGAGTAAGTATTAATTATCTTTTAACAGATTAATATCTCTATATAGTCAATAATATCTATTAAATTTTCACATAAGAGCCTTATGGAATGCTGGGAAGATCAAAGCGGATGCTCAAAACTGGGTACGTCTTCTGGCGGACATTCCCGCCAATTTCATGACTCCGACAATTTTTGGCGAGACTGTTTCCCAAGTTCTCATCCCCCAAGGAGTCGACGTTATAGTTCATGATGAGCTTTGGGCAACCAAGAAAAAAATGGGTTCTTTCCTGAGCGTTTCTCGAGGTAGCTCTGAACCGCCGAAATTTGTAGAAATTCATTATAAAGGAGCAGAGCCAACTAAAGCCCCAATAGCTTTTGTGGGCAAAGGAGTGACATTTGATGCTGGTGGTATCAGTTTGAAGAGCGCAGCTTCAATGGATGAAATGCGATCAGACATGGCAGGAGCAGCTTGTGTTGCTGGTCTTATTAAAGCTGCCGCTGAATTGAAACTCGAGGTGAATCTAGTCGGATTAATTCCCTTGACGGAAAATCTTCCATCAGGAACAGCAACCAAACCTGGCGATATTGTTACAGCAATGAATGGTAAAACAATTATTGTTGATAACACTGATGCGGAGGGACGATTGATACTTGCTGATGCCCTGAGTTATGCTGCTGAATTCAAGCCTCAATGTACTGTAGACATTGCGACTCTCACTGGAGCCATTAAAATAGCCTTGGGTAATGCTGCCACTGGAGTTTTTACTAATAGCAACGAATTGTGGGAATTGTTGAGACAATCTGGCTCCATTACTGGTGACCGCATGTGGAGAATGCCTCTATGGCAGCACTATAATAATCAGATAACAAAACCCTTTAAAGCTGCTGATTTGAATAATTTTGCTAGGGTTAAAGGTGGTACCTCATGCATTGCTGCTGGTTTTTTACGTGAATTCGCTAGCTCTGAAGCACCCTGGCTACATTTAGACATGGCTGGTGTCATGGGCCCTACTAATGATGAAATTAGTTACTTGACTTCGGGTATGTCTGGAAGACCGGTCCGAACCCTCATTCAATTCGTCCAGAACATTGCCAGTGGAAAGGCTACGTGCAGACGTTAAGTGTTAATGCTAGCATGAATAATTAACCGACACGTAAAGAGCAATGATGTCAAGAAAATAATGAGGCCATTGATGGGAGAAGCTTGAGACTCCACATCATACCAATATTTTTTATCTCAAATTGAGTTTTATATATGGCTGCTTGATTTTTGTCCTTCATTTTTTTTTTCTTTCTCCCTGTCTTTCCAACAACTCGCAAATTTCTCATTTCATATAAATATAATTGTAGTTTATAATGGTTATTTTCAATAGAAGGGATACAGGGTGAGAAATAAATAGCCTCGTTAAAATGTCATTGGCCATTGTATTTTTTTTCTTCCGGCATTATCAATATACTGAGGAATAAATAAAAATGAAATCTATAATTTTTCCAACCAATTTGAGTTGCCAAATTGGGGGTATTTCATCAACGTCCACCACACCAGTATAGAATAACGAGGGAGTGTAGTTTTATTCATGATAATTATCTAATTTATTCCTCTATAAATAAAATTCACAGGTGGATTCAGTCGCGCATTGCCACACTCTCTTACAATTTTATTACATCCACATTACACATTTTTTTACTGGATTACGATAAATGTCTAGTGGGAGTGATTTAGATGCTCGGGAAATTTTCGAATAAGTACATAAACATCCGGAAGAAAAAATGTCAAACAATAATGTAAAAGGATAAATTAATGAGAATTCTCATATGAAAAATCTATAAAAACAATAGATAAAAAACGGAAAATTAACTTATCCTGACAGAAAGTTATTGAAGCTGAGCTTCTACTACTGCATTAACTAAATAATTAATTATTCACACGGAAGAAGACAAGTTGTAGGTTTCAAGCGATGAAAAAAAAAAAAAAATGGATTGTATGTTTGATGAGAAAGTTGCACAACCGCCAATGCAACTTTTCCATTGGAATGTTCTATCTAAAGAAAAATGAAAGTGACTTTTAATTTTTAATATAAAATAAATTCAGGTGCACGAGGGAGGGGGCTGTTGCTGTTGAGAGGGAAGGGGCGATGACGCGACAGCAGCTACTGCTGCGGTAGCGTAACAAGACGGATCAGTGGGATCGAGGATGGGTGGTGGTGGTGGTGGTAAACCACCAGTACCACGGCCTCTTCCTCTTCCTCGTCCACGTCCTCGTCCTCGCCCCCTCCCCCTTCCGCGTCAACTCCGCCTCTCGGGCATCCCTATGTTGCTCGTTGTCTTCTCCAGAAAAGCAAGTGGACCTTGTAGCACACTGCTACCAACACCCACCCCACCAACTGGAAAACCACCACGTCCACCCGCCACACCACCCTGACTCATAAACATCCCCTGTTGAACTACGTTCACTCCCTGAAGTCCTGGAGGTACTGAAGCAGCTCCACTTCCTGGCTGCACCTGTAAAATTAACCAAAATTCACCCGAACATTTAATCTTTTCTTATTTACAATTTCTTCTTTTTTCTTCTACTTGTTCTTCCACCGAGCATTCCCATGAACAGATCTCAATTTATTTTTTCACAATTTATTGCAACAAGAAAATTCGTTTCCGTTGAAAAAATATGGAAAATTGTGAAGAATGATATAGCCCTGCAATTAATCCATGAATATATAAGGGTCTTGGTTTAGTTTCAAACATGCATCGGGAAATTCATCCTCGAAAATATATAAAGAAATAGTTCCCAAAGGACAAATTAAAAAAAAAAAAGCCATAATAATCAAATGAATAAATAAATAAATAAGAAAATGAAGATTATTCATGAAGGAACGTGAGGACAGGCGAGATTGGCAAGGTGAATGAAAGAAAGCGACAATGACTGACCATGAAACGAACATTTTCATCATTTTTATTCTACAAAACAATCTACCGATCGACAACACAAGTGGAGAACAATGTAAGATCGCCTCGATTTTTATCGTCTCCTATAAATCTAATAATCGTTCACTTTCATTGTTTCTCATAATTTTTCATTTTTTCCCCTTGATAAATAATCAACATTATTATTTATCAGCAGCACAAGAAACGTAAGGTTCTCCATACGTTCAATTTCTTTCTCACTTGATATCATTTTTATACGTTACATGCGGCACGTAATTTGCATGCATCAAAAAAATGAATTACCATCACCGATGTATAACTAAACCCCATGAGCCAGCAATAAAACCAATATTGCGTATACATACATTATTTTTAGAAGTAAAAAATATAGCAACAACCAACAGGAGGCGAGCAATGACAATATGCAGGTGCCAGAAAACCGAAATTCCTCTTTCTCCCCATAAATAGGGAATCATAGGGAATACGATAGTGTATGATTTAAAAGGAATGAAGGATGTAAAAAATTAGAGGGAAAAATTAAATTGAATAATAATTATAATAATGGCAGTATCTAAACAAAAATGAAACGAAAACGAATAAATGTTCAATTGTTTACAATTAATTATGCATTTATCTTCGAAACGAGTGCTTTTAAGGAAGGAAGAAAAGTCAAGATATTTTTTTCATAGCTCAGAGCTGCTACGAAAATCACTCATTCTCAATATAATTACATGTTCAACATGAAGTGAAAAATTAATAACAAAAATTCATTATTGATCGCCCCAATAATCAAGTTGCAATAAGCCTTATATTTGTATCGATTTCTTATTGTCTTTATCAGAATACTAAATACCACAATTTCATGAATTTTTGACTAAGCTTGTAGCTAAGCTGTTTTGTACAATCATATGATTTGTTTTTTACTATAATTTTGGCACCGTTTTCTCATTTACATAATCTCTTCTACACTCTTCTCATCGTCGTCATCCCCACCACCATCAGCATCATCATCAACATCATCATCATTATCATCACTATCATAATCATCTTCATCCGTCATTTTCACCATCAACATCATCATCACAATCATCATTATCATCATCATCATCATCATCATCATCATCATCATCATCATCATCATCATCGTCATTATCATCAACATCTTTATCATTAACTATTTGAAGACCGTCTGTCCATATTGAAATAGATCGTTATGTAAAAGTTTGCTGTTGAAGAAAAAGAAGCAGCAATATACGATTTATTGATATCTCCCGCTTAAGGCACTGAATTTATAAGAAAAATAAATAAATCATGTGTTAATTACTTTGTTTGATTAATGTAAAATGAGCGAATGAATGAATCAATAATAAGTGGCATTTAGAAACACATATGCAGTTTTCCCATTGCATTTCAATATGATGATTGGAAGAGCAGTGGTCAGAATTTATGTATGTATATTATATTATGGCTAAATCTAACAAGTCTTAAGATCACAGTGAATCCATTTTATAATCAATATTATACAATCATGCTGGAATTCTCCACATGCATTCAATTGTACTTGATTGAAATGAATTGAGGAAAAACGAGCTGATGTGCAAAATTAGACCAGCAATATTTTGCTAATGTATTGATACATTTAATCAGCAAGGGTGCTACACCTGTTGAAAAGAAAACTATTGGAAGCAAAAAAAAAACTAAATAAGTTTTTATTTTCCATATTCTTATATCATTGTCTCCCCGGTTCATTTCGATTTCATTTATTTTATTCACTTGGATAACGAAAAAATGTTGGCTATAGCAATTAGCAATATTCATCGATATTTCATTCTGACATGAAAATCATTCTGGTTAATTCGTACCAATGTATTTCTTTCAACAATGAACACATGTTAAACAAAAGAATAAATATTTAACAATTGCTAAAATTCTTGTTAATTGAAGAATAGAATCTCTTTATATTTATCTAATTATAATTTTCCCATCACATAAGTGGGAGGTAATAATATATGTCATGTAGATGGACTTTTGGCGGATTAACGTCGTTTTACTTAAATACCTGTTGGTGCATTTGTTGTTGTTGCATTTGACTGTGTTGCATCTGTAGCTGTTGCTGCTGAAGTTGATGCTGATGTTGCAGCATTTGAGACGGCTGAGGAGGTTGAGGTGGCATTTGCGGCCCCCCTGTGCCATTAGCCCCGGGCTGACCCTGACTCACCGGCTGACTTCCATTTGCTAAACCTGCGAAATTCATTAAAAAATCAATTAATGAATTAATATATATTCTATATAACATATATTGGGCTACGGAATTGTGAAATATCTTTACCATTCGGGGCTGGTCCTTGAGCAGGAGATTTGGCCCATCCTTGAAGATCAGCTAGGAGATTTTGCCAGAGAGCAATCTTATCGTAATGCCTCTTGATGAGATCATCTTTTCTCGTTAACTCCACTTTAAGATCATTGATATCTTCTTTAACAACTAATTCAGGCTTTAATGCAGATAATAAAAATCTCTTTTGTAGAAAAAAGGCCTCCATCTGTCTTGCCAAGTCTATAAATCTCAGGGTAACTTGCTCCACCTCCATCCGGGCCTCGTCCTTGTCCACTGCCAGACTGCTACCAATACTATTGTTGCTCAAGCCCTCGTCTTTAGTCAATACATTTAGACATTGCTGTAATTAAAGGGTTTAAAAATTAATTTTGCCTTTCCTCCTTACTAACCCAATGGATTGAGTTTCAGTTAAAATTTTTTTATCCATTGTTCTTTTTATTTCTCCACTGTATATACACAAATATACGAATAAAAAAAACAAAAAACAACTTTTGGCCACTGGCTTTACCTGAAATGCTTCATCGAACTCCTCCACTAGATTACCACTTCCATTGGTGGGTGTTGCCATATCGCGATCTTGCCAATAAAACAAGTGGAAATAATTAAAATGAAAAAATCTATTTAACCAAATATTCTATTTATCGCGTATCAAAACCCGAAATTGTTCAACCCAATTTAAAGTAAGGTTATAAAATCCTGAACGTACAAAGACCCTATAACCACTTTACATCATCTGAAATCGAAAAATTCACATATTGAAAATAAGGAAAAGAGGTGTGGAAGTCGATTAATTCATAAATCTATCTACAAACGAAAATAAAAAATTATCTTTTGAAAAACGCAGCCTGTCCCGTTTTCTCAGATTGAACAGTTAAATGCACATTACGCTACATGGAGAGTTAGTCACAGTTCACACCAATTGAATAGAGGGCATTTGTCATTTTGGTTGTCTCTGGTCTCCACAAACTCCTACAATGTCGCTCCTGACCACCAGATGATGAAACCAGAATAACATCACACCGTCTATGTAGTTGACAATTCAAAGCTCCTCGACTCGTTGTTGTCTCTGGTGGCACCTTTTCCGATTTTCCTCGAGGCAAGGAGAGAGCTGCCACCAAAGGTGCCACCAAAGAGGATTCACTAGAGTCTCAGTTCTGGGGGTTTGAGTGATCCCACCGGCATTATAGTACCTCACCCCAAGAGAGAGAGAGAGAGAGAGAGAGAGCGCGCCACACGCAATGCGCTGGCGTGTCTGCCCGTGAGCCGACTCGGTAACTGCCTCAGTAGCACTGTCGCTGTCAAAGGGACCAGTCGGCGGGGTCAATGTGATTTTTTGCGTTACGAAATTGTTATTCACTGAAATTTTAAAATTTTATGAAGTCACTTAAATTTTCTGCCCCCACTTTTTTTGCCCATTTTTTTTTTTTAACTCAAGGATAGAATAAATAATATACATGAAGGTGTAGGGGATTGTCGAAAAGAAGATGCAAGGAGAATGGGAAAGAAAATGAAGGATAAACCAAAAGGATTAATCCAATAAATGGATGACACAACATTAGATCATAGTAAATATAGATTGAATTTATTATTTTTTCATTTATTCTTAATAAAAACGTTTGTCATTGAAGCATCATTTGACGCAATATAATTTATGTTTTTGTCATCAATTGATTACACTTGGATACAATAAATTACTTGTCGATACTCAATACCTTTGAGTCCCATCAACACACGCTAAAACGTGTTAGTCTGTTACAATTTTTTCATTATATAATTTAATAAACAAATGGCAAGTCTTATGGTTGAATCTTAACTTTTGAACATTAATTAATCAATTAAATATGTACCACTCTTAAAATTCGAAACAAATACTGAAAAATTAAAAATCAAATTATCTCCCACCATTCCAGTCGATATAATTCACAGAAAAAAATTGGTAATAATTTTTAGATTTATATAATATAATACAAAAAATAATATCTGCTCGATTTTGAATCGAATCAGCAAATTGAAAAAAAAAAAGAAAAATACAATAGTTTATAAATCAATGACATGGAAAAGTGAACAAGATTTCTTAATTTTTTCGAAGAACTTTGGAATAGATTGGAAGATTCAATAATAATCAACAAAAAATGAATTATCAATAATAAATTAGTTTCAACGATATCCACAGCTGCGCAAAGTAGGTTGAACGAGATGACATATAGTGGAGAAGAATTCTAAAGCTCAGTCAATGTATCAACCGATGCTCTGAATCTTCTAGAAGTAACGTCAACCAGAGTCTTGCTGCATCCTATTCCTGTTCCCTCTATTTTTGATATTATCTCGTCCTTCAAGGCACATAAAACACGACGATCCTGTCGGTTATTAACTGGGGCTATTTGCAGAGCCTCTTTAACGTCCACCAGAGCATCTTCATAATATGTTAAATCAACTTTAGCCTTGGCACGAGCATAAAATGCCTCGTATGACGATGGACGAATTTTGAGAGCTTGGTTTGCTAATTCTAAAGCCTCTTCAGATTCATTCATTTTACGTTTACACCGACTAAGGTTGAGCAAAAAATTGAGCTTCAACTGTGTAAATGTTTGAAGATGAAAAATCAAATTGTTCCCTTCTTGATTTGGAGAATCTTGAGCTTGATCGGAAGCTCCGGGAAACTTTTTCAAGGCATAAGCATATCTGTGAGAGGCTTCCTTGAGTCGTTCTTTTCTGTAAAGCACATTGCCATCTTCAAGTAATTTATTCAGGAGTATTAATAGTACATCAGGTTTGCCCTGTGCCATAGCCCATGTTGCTGGGCCGAGTTTAGCCCCTCTTCTCAAAAAACACTGGATAACAGGTATATTTCTGCAGCCAATAGCTCTATCCAATGGTCTCATTCCGTTTAAATCGACGTGTTCAACAACAGCTCCCCTCTCCAACAATAATTGAACCAATTTTGGATTACCCTGGAAGGCAGCGAGATCCAAAGGTGTCCTGCCCGTTTTATCATTAGCACCAATATCAGCACCACGGTCTAATAGTGTTTGTACCGTAGCAACTCTACCCCTCACACATGCCCAACCTAATCCAGTCAGTCCCTCCTTATCAACAGCCTCCAGTGAAGCGCCTCTTTCCAACAGTAGATCAATTACATTGATGTGTCCCTCCGACGCAGCCATCATAAGTGCTGTTCTTCCCATAGTATCTCTTTGTTCAAGTAATTGCTCTGTTGTTACTTGTTCAATTGAAGTTGAAAGTGATTTGGAAGTGGCATGGGCATTAGTATAGTCCTGAAGAAGGCGTTCTGCAGTTCCCCAATGGCCCTCTCGAGCGGCTAACATCAATGGAGTTAAACCTTTTGCGTTGAGAGCTGTGGGATTAGCCCCTCTAGCTAATAGAGCTGATACTGTAGCTGTTGAGCCGTGGGCCGATGCAATTGTCAATGGAGTTTCTCCAATTAATGTATCAGACCCGTCGATATTGACTTTAGCCATGTCGAGAAGATATTCAACGACCGACTCATGGCCTTGGGAAGCTGCTGCGACAACAGCCTGTTGAGCTGCTTCCTCGCGTGAGGTTTCAAATGGTACTATTTGACTTTCACTAGTAGGAGTGGACCAATCGCATGCCAATAGATAGCCAACAACTGGAAAACGTCCATGGCGTGCTGCATGAACGAGGGGACACTGGCCAGCTATATCTGCGTGACCCAATGAGGCTCCAGCACCAGCCAACAACCGAACAACATCGCAGTGGCCACGTGTAGAGGCGAGAGAAAGAGCTGTACACCCTTGAGAATTGGTAAGCTCAACATCAGCTCCAAATTCCAACAGGAGAGAGACCATCTCTACTGAGCCTTCATGAGCATACATACAGAGAACTGGGGCGTTGCCGAGATATTCGGTTCTATGGTTGGGGGAGGCTCCTGCCAGCAGGAGTAATCTTGATACTTTAACGTTCGGACTGTAGATATTACGTAGCGTACACACGGCTGATGAGATGCACTCCGTTGACCAACTCATCCACCAAGCTTGGAGATCTCGTGAAGGAAAAGAGGGGCTCACTCCTCGGTAGAGGTGGGCTTTTAAAATATGATGACCAAGCTCTAGAACTTTATCACCTGATAGGGGACATTCCAGCCGAGAGAGACGGAAGGATATAGCTGTGTGTCCCAGACGAAGATCGCATAGGAATTTCACTGATTCATTTTCATCACGACGAATTAACCACTCTCTGAAAGAGGGATGAAAGAACATATATGTATCGTCCAGACGTTTCACGAGAAAACCAGAGAGCATCTGAAAATTTTACAATAAAATATTTTACTATGATAATTTCAAGTGCACAACAAAATTATATCACTTACTTATCCTTCAATGTCGTTCCAACAAATAAAAATATAACCAATTTAATTTTATTCAATTCAATTATATTTTTCACGTGTGTGGAATTTATTTAATTATTACCTTAAATCTCTGTAAAAATTCCTCCCATGAAACGAACTGCTCCATATACAATGAATTGACCGAATAAAAAATTTCTGGCAGTGTAAGTGGATAAAGAGCTGCTAGACAGACAGCAAGAAGTGGCTGAACTTTTTCAAATGAAGTGGCAGTTGGAAATCTCAGATTGAAATGAAGTTGGTATATCTGTGCTAAAGATACTGGCAAAACCTGTAATAAAAATAAAGGTAAAATTATGATAATCTAGACTCTAAAATTGTATAAAATGGCCACTCTAGTAAAGAGATGATATTGAATTTACCTTATAAGTGGCAGATTTAGCAACAATATGTCCACTCTCAATGAGATCAAGGGTGAGCTTCACAAAAAGAAAGCTGCCTCCAGCGAGGGAGAGTAGATGTGTAGCGAACCTGTTGTGATTTGCTCCACAGGAGGACTCCTTTCCATTAACACTTGATGTGATATTAGCCTGTATAACAGCGCTTTGGGCCAACCTGTGGCTTATGTATTCAGACAAATCTCTGCCAATACAAAGACCGATTGAAGTGCTGCTATTACTATTTCTATCAAGAGAAATTCTAGTATAAGGAAAAGCCTTAGCACACTCCCTCAGCTCGCTCCTTACAGTACACACAATTTTCATCCAGCTGGGAAAATTAGGTGCGTGTCTAGTAAGAAAGGAAGCAATAGTATCACCTCTGTCAGGCCTGTGATATTCAGCCTCACAAATAGCATCAATAAGCACCACCATGTTCACCTCAGGAAGTCGTCCAGTCTTTCTAAGAGTCAGCATTGGCTCAATAATGCCCCTAGATAGGGCGAGATCAGGGTCTACCGTGCATTCTCTCTGAGATAATGATCCTTGTAAATGTGGCTCCGATAACAAATACTCTCTGTATGCAATCAATTGGGGTGCTTGACATAATTGGGCAGCTATAGAATGAATTAAATCAGGAACTAAACAAGTACTGTTGTTATCAGCTTGACAAAAATGATATGCAACCACATGGCTGGCTATTTCTCGTATCTTCTCATTAGTCTTTTTAATATTGATTTCAAAGGTCGATGTCATTGTCTGTTTATCCTGACTAAACGCCTCATCTTCATCACATTCGGCCATTTCTGCCCTCAAACATTGCTCTCTCTTTCTGCCAAAACAACTGTGCTCAACTAGTTGAAGAATAAGCGACGTTTTTCCAGTACCTGGTGCTCCTGACAAAAGCACCCCAGGGCTAGAACCCTTGATGAGATTGTCTAGCTCTTGAAGAAGCCAAAGCCTACCAGTAAAGCATGGATCTGGTTCGATTGATGGTACCTCGAAGAAAAGGGGTTTAAGGGTAAGCTGAGCTGTGGGGTGAGAGAGCAATCTCATTTTTAATTCTAGGGGCTTGATTAATCCTCGACCCGATCTTCTCGCGCAACATTTTCGATTCTTCAAGCTTGCCTCATCTTCAGGGTTTATTGAGATTTTTCGAGAGGTGAGAGGACTGCAACTGCCATTGGAAAGACCTGAAACCGACACTGACATTGACATAGACATGGACATGGAGGTTGATGCTGAGATCGAGGTGGATATTGAGGCAAGACTTCCGGCTGAATCACAGTCTTTTATCTTTGATTTTTGCCTGAATTTGCCTTTTGGTTTCATTGGGGTAGAACGCAATGCCGCTGCAACTTCGGCTTCACTTGATGTGCCGGTCAGCGTCGATACTGGACTGGTGTTTGTTGAAGCCAGTGTCTGTTGATCGAAACTGGTTAAGCTGCTGAAGGATGCCTCATGGCATCGTGAATCTGATCGTTGAGGATGTTGTGATGATGAGGCGATTGGCTCTATTCCGGAGGAGGTGCGCAGATGCCCTGAACCCAGGAGAAGACCCAGGCGCATGTATAGGTCAGATTGTGAAGATTTTCTACTTTTTGAGGATAGTGGTTTTACACTACCTCCTTCGTCATCTGCGAAAGTTAAAAGAACGTTAGATTTCGAAACGATTAAGGTGGAGATAAATTTCGCGTCATTAGAGTTGGCGACGGCAATCAAAGCGATGGCAACTCTTCACGATGCAACAAAACTAAAACTCAAAACTGTAGAAGTGTCCGGTCATGCTGGCTAAAATTGTGATTTTCATTTATTGAATTTAATGCACATGAGATTGCCGTGTTTATTTATTTATTTATTTATTTATTGAATTGTGCTTTGGAATAATTATTTGATTAATAATATGAATTCATGATGCTGGAAACAAGCCAAAAAAAAAACAAAAAAAAACAAAAAAAAAAAGAATATGAAACAACAACAAAATAAAACGCAGTGAGTAAAAAGCAGCCTGCCTGTTGGTCTTTTGAAGTGTTCAAGAATCAAGATTTTAGATTTTTTCGGTGCATTGACAAGCCTGTTGAGGCCATCGGATTTCGGTATTCTTGGCGGATCAATAAGCTGATTCAATCCATCACTAGCAGTTCCTTGATTTGTACTCCATAAAGATTTTATTTTTCCAAGCACCACGCCTGGCCAACGTGAGGTACCTTCCCATGAGGATGTCATCCACGCTAATTTTCGTTTATTTAATCAATTGTTTCATAGCTCACTCTTAAAACTAAGGCAATAAAATTGATGACCAAGGCGATTTATGAAGAGAAAGAGGATCACTTGCAATGGTGAATTTACCTGATAGAGTAGAAGGATTATCGTTCTCTTGCTGCGATGTGGACGGACCTCTCCTCGATTTTTGTGGGGTGAAGGGACTCTTTAGACCCTTGGAACTCAAAAAAAATCGTCTCCGTTGATTGTGTGGTGTAGAACAACCTAGATAAAATCGACAAATTAAAAAAATAGTACTGTCCAACCAAGCTGGATATTATTATTATTAATAGTATATGGAAATGAATGGAGAGTGAGGCGGAAAGAAATGAAAACTCACTCTGAGCCATAACTTGAGGTTTGTGACGAGAGTGGGAAGCGCTAGACTCTGAAAGAATCGGTGGCTTGCCCTTTGCTCCCTTTCCCATAATTGATGAAGACATGACGCTCTCCAATCCTTGCTAAAATTCACATAATCGAGACTATTTCACGCTGTATTTTTCATACGTAGTCGCACTATTTAAAATTACGATTGAATTGCATTTCAAGTGATCTGAAACTGTGGATCGTATATACCATGCAAAGGCTTGCTAAATATAATCCCTCTATAGATCTACATATACACATAGTTATAAATAATGTTGTCCAGTGCTATGCCATTAAAAATAAAAATCAATTTATCATTCTTTGAGGGAATGGAAAACTTGGAAAAAAAAATTTTGTACTGAATGAATGCCTACAAGAGTATAGTACACAGTTGCGGTTGAGTTGACGACTGAATTACCGTAGCTGATGGTTGAGAAGTAAAAAGCCCGTAGATAGTGAGGTATATTTGGAACATATGATTTGATTTGCTTGCCATAAAAAGCAAAAAAAAAAAAATGGATAACTTACATGGACGACACGATTGGGTAAATTTCTAATGATTTTGGTGGTGAACTGAGGACTGCCACAGGGTTCGTCATCCCAGTCGTCAGTTGCTATAACAGAGACTGGCTCGGAGGAACAAAAACCAGTATCGTAATTGACAATATCATCCTGCAGTATAACAGAATCATCTTGGCTATTTTCATATGTATTACGACATATTGGACATGCCTCACTGCGAAATAGACACGAGTAGCATCTCTCGTGGCCACATGAATCAATGAGTCGGCGTTTCTTTCCTTTGTCGAACGGCATTTGGCAGGATGGACACATGGAACACCCCACCATGCCTGTTGACTCGACTAGGGCCCGAATTTGTGCCAAATCTGGAGATAGAAAACATTGAGCTGAATGAAAATTACACTTTATTGTGTTTAAAAATGTCAAAGGAAAAATAAAAATAAACAAGTGGGGAATTGGAACGTATCTCTGAAAAAAAAAATAATTAGCGTAGTTTTAAATTGCAAAATAGAATATTCGAAATAAGCCGTAGATTCACTTGAACCGATCAGAGTTAACGTCAATTCAAATGTATTATGGATAATCATAGGATAGGTTCAAATTGCTTAAAAACGAAGACAACACCGTGTATATTCAAGCCATGCCAGGCTGTCAATGTGTCGTAAAAATAAACTTGATTTCATCTACTTGGTCATAACTTTCATCCTTTGCTTACTGTAATATACCTATATATACCATTTTATGCTGATTGAATATATACTGTATATATGACGTGTGAACAAGGTATATAGCAGATGGCATTTGGTGGAGCGGAAAGAGAAAAACAGGTAGATTGTACAAGTTTTTCTCAATTTGGGTGCCATATTATATATAACGATTAAGTCAGTAGTATTCGAAAGTAAAATCAGAAAAATGTATGATAAACAAACCGAAAATGAAGATTTTTACAATATATGAAAAAATATTAAAGGGTTCTGGTGGGTGTGTAGGTAATGTGTTTGAGCGAGTACATGAACAGGTCGACATATACGTGAACGAGTGCGTTGACCGAGAAGCTCTTACGGTAACTTCACCATCAACTACACCAATACCAAGAGATAGTTGCACCTGCATTTGCACACAAGCACAAACACAAATAAAGATAGAAACGAATGAAGCCTTACGGCTAACTTACCGGGATGGGGTCGGGCGGGCGATCCCAATCCGATTCGTCTCTGAGACTTTTTTTGCACCATTTAACCATCAACGCATTTATTAAAGAATGACAGTACCGAGTAACTAAGCTACCATAATAAAGCTACGCGGCTTTCTCATCAATATTTGCCAAGTAAAGCTATGTCAAGCAAAGCCCTCCAAACCGTTAAAATTATGGTAATTAATCTAAATTCAAAAAATAAACAATATGCCATGTACTGCTGACTCTAGTGGTATATAGCCGAGGCCGCCGAGGCCGCCGAGCCATATTTGAAGCGATAGCTCGAGTGCTCTTTTGAATAACATCACCATCATCAGTAAACACTTGAAATTTAATTCATACAATGGCATTAGCCATTCTTCTTGTATCTAACTGCATTGCACTCTTCCCATTCAAATATATCTACATTCTACATATATAAAATCTTTTTTCTTTCCCTGATATATACAGGTTAAAGCAGAGACTACTTATTATTGCTGGAAAATAAAAGTCTAAATATTCATTGCACGTAGAAGGTAGATAAGACGTTAGAGATAAGATGAGGCGCCTCGGTATCATGTTGACTGGATTGGCGGTAGTGGGGATGAGAAAAAGAGATAGGGAGCTCAGATTAAATAGATAAAGCCACGAGCGATTTCAAGTTTATAAGTCTTCCGTGTATTTTATCGCACTTGTTTTCTCTCAACCGATTTATACTTCAAGTCCACATTATTTTTTTTCTTTTCTATTGGAGGGCTTTCCAGGGCTTTCAAAGATATATTTTAAACATTTGTACATTTATTGTGTATGCCTGTTTTTTATGGAATTGCTGTAATTTTTATTTTCCACTTTAGAAAGTTTTACTCAATTTTATATTAGTCTAATGGAATTTTTTGTCATTAAGAATGGTGTGCAACTTGTCATGGAAATTTTATGGATGTCAATCGTTTCTCTAGGTGACTTAACGAGCTATTAAAAAAACATGTTTCATTTAAGCAGTGAAAATTGAAAATTAAATAAAAGTTGTCAAAAGTTGTCAAGTTGCGATTGTTGGGCGATATTATTCAGTGGTGGTTGACACTGAGCTGAGCGAACTGAAAAAACTTCTGAGCACGACATTTCTGACATTTACAGATGATTCATATCCTAACCCTTTATATTGGAATCCTCAGACGTATAGACTCCCGTCCAATTCGATCGTTTAACGCATTTTAATATCACCAATTGTAGTGTCGTCTCATGGTAAAAAAAAAAAAATATTTCAATTGATGACCAATAAGATGTGAGAAGAAAGCATTGACATCTATGGTGATTCGATTGGCAGCCAACGTCCATTGTAACTTACATGGATTAAATTCCATAGTTTCGGATGATCGAGTTGAGTAATAAGCATATCGATATCCCAAGAGATACGTGTACTGAGTTTAAAACGTGCAAGATAATCCAATGAATGTTCCGATGGCAGAGAAGCAAAAAAAAAAAGATTTTTTTCACCCATCCGAAGGCTTTCTATAATGTCAGGTCCTGGGACAAATGGTTGGTCGAGCGTCACAAGTAAAAAATCTCAGTTCGGCTTGTATCAGAGACAAGAGTGAATAAAATAACAACACTTGAAGCGTATGTAATATGTTATGCGTTACGGTTCGAAACACAGTGTGTCCATTACGCCATTTAATTGAATGCAACAGGTGGTTTATTCCAGTGCATATTTTCAGGTGATATAGGCCTGAATACTTTTTCAATATAAACATTCCAGTCTTATGATACCGAACAACAGCATAAAACTAGTTGATTATCGATTGAACACGTGCTACATCCTGTGGGTTCCTTGGACAGGTTAATTATTTTACCATTTTATTGTTACTATCGAGAATGAGAGTTGTCGAAACCTCGATGGATACTTAGTTCTACATCAAATTTTTTTTTTATTGTAGAAAAATTAAGAAATTTTTTGATAAACGTTTAACATTTTGTAGAATCCTCAAATTTATGGTTAAAACAATATATAAATTGAAATTGTCAAAAAATCCAGAGACTTCTTGGCTCTCTCTTAGCGCTTGTCCTTCAACCACCAATAAAATCTCCCCGGAATCCCACAGTTATATATACAGAGTATCCCCGATTCACTCGAAGAATTCAGACTGAAGAATGCAAACCCATTCCCCACCTCCAACTTACAGTAGAACTAAGAACATTTTTTTCCCTCACCCTCTTTTTGCAAAATAATCAATCTGCAGTAGATTTGAAATCCGATGAGATGTTAAAGGCGCCTCATCGGTGAATTATATGTTGGCTCTAAGTGAACAAAGCTTATGTCCGGTTGTATGAGGAAGATTTGTCAGTTAAACTCACCAAGAACCGAGTGACTGAGGCCAGCGCCAGAACGCGGAGGTGGTGAGCATCTTCTTATCCTATCAGGAGGCGCCATAACCCTCTTAAAATTTATATATCTATCCACTGACTATATTTTTTTTTTGTTTGTTTGTTTAATCGGCAACACAGAACCAAGTAAATGGCATTTTTTAAATCACCAATTTTTCAGTCACCTTTTTGACAATTCTCTATTTATTGACAAACAATGGTTATCTTAAGTAAAATAATGCGAGCGAGAATAGCAATTAGATATTGCACCACATTGAAATTCAATAATTGACATGGTATCCGTTGAATAAAATCTATATAAATTCAAGGGGATTGGCATGATGTTATTGAGGCAGAATGGTTTGAATGGAGAGGTTTGAATCGATGCGCCTCAAAAGTTCACACAGTACAGACAGAACTGACGGAAGGCCCGCGGCAAACTGATTTGCAGATTGGGGAGAGCGGAGTGAAGGAGAAGTACAAGTGCTACAATGGCGCACCGGGGGAGGGTTAAGGAGTAAGGGGAAGGGAGCAATGACGTCTGATTGGCTGTATTCTGTGCATGAGGTTAACCCGATAGACTGTCTGACTTGCAGGCCTCAGGCCTCACGGGTCCTTCTCGAGGGACTTATGCATACATATGTTACTAGTTAAGCTCTTTCTACTCTATGTACATTGTACAAATACACCAACCTGCCACTATCCAATCAATGTTCTCCATTATTATTTATAAAAACGAGTTGATTTAACTTGAGGGAGGAGAGGCTACGGTGGTTTGATGCCTCCCCAAGTCCCCTCTCTCATTCACTCCTTTTTTCTCGCACAGGTGCCAAGTCTCTTACATAGCACTGAGGCGCTATCGATATTCTCGTATGTACGGCAAGTTTAACTGCCCTATACTTTAGCCGTATCACTTTACGTCTAGGTAAAACTAGTCAATGAATAAGAGAGACGTAAAAATTTTCGAAAATGAAAAATTAAGGAAGAGATTGTGGTAACAATCCATCTCCCCCATCTCCACCAATTCACCTCCTATTATATACTTTAATCTATGTGAGAGGGCGAGTTGGGTAACATATGCTCGTTAGTATAGGTTCATTCATTGACGTAACTACATATCTCTCTTGCTAATAAAATTTGTGTTTTTCCATCGCCATCAGTCGCAATTAAAATTATGTAATCGTGAGAATTATCTGCATTTTTTTCCCCTCAATGAAGCTTTAAAAAATGTCAAATAATATCGAAATATTGTAAAGAAATATTTTTTAATTCTCTACTGATTTTTCCAGGTGTTCTTTTAATTCTTCCTTGGATTCTCTGCTTGTCAGATTGCTCGTAACGGATGCAATAAGACCACTGGGTGAATTATTTGTACATTAATATAGAGGTGAAATTTGGGTGGTCCTGAATAATAAACGTTGACATTTTCTGATGATATTACATGTACCTTGTATATGGGCCAGAATACGGTGGCTCGTTATTATGACCACGAGTATTGAGGGATCCAGGCCTTATGTTCCTCCTCTCTCAATCTCTTTGCCGCTCTTTCTTTAAATGTTGGAGGTGAGGATGGATACTGGTTTCACCACACGCGATGGGTTAAAAGTGTCTTGTGGAGGGGCAGACGGGGCTTTTCTTGCAGACTCGTGACGATGAATTTAAGCGTCTGGTAGCCTCAAGGGCCAAGTTGAATAAATCCAGGCGATAGAAAGAATTGAATTGTTGAATTGTGACTGTTCAAATAATGGAAAGAAAATTTTTCATTATAGACTTTCGGAGGTTATAAGGTTAATAAATGAGATTGATAAATTTTACGTAAAAATATTTAATAAATTTATTTGAAAAAGTGAAGAGCAGCCACAGCCACAGTCACAGCCGTTTGAGCTTGGACTTGGACTTGACATAATAATCCTACTCTGAAAAGGACAAACATCGAGACTATCGATATTTCCAAGTTCTGTCACGCTTATTCCTCATTGGTTCAGTCGTCTGTGGCAGCTTATTTGAATTCAGAACTCATTTAATTTTGAACTTTGCAATCATGATTTTTATAATTACAGCGCGCTGTGGCTTAAAAAGATGCGTGCCAATGAACAGAAGTCACGCAGTCCAGCGGATGCGGGTGGGCGGACCGGGATATCTCCTCGTCTACGGTTAACTCTATACATCCAGAACGCACAAGAGAATACAGACGACATAGTCAATCTCCTTGTCCCGTCTGCAAGTATTAACGGCCCCATAATCCCCATAGTAATTAAACCTGTACAACTTACACCATCCAACGATTGAGGCAGTCTTTTATTAAAGAAAAAATCGAATAAATCGAATAAATAAGAACCAGTGGACTTGAAACTATAGCAGTGCCAATAACAAAACTCATACTTTGACGAAAATTCAAACTGACTATAGCTCTATTATTAGTATTCAAGAGAAATTATCAATTTTTCTTATCTCATCCGAGGTCTCTTCCCATTTTATTGACTAACTAGCCAGTTATTTCATTCTTTCCCTCTCCCGTTCCCGTGAAAATATCTCGTCATACATTTACAATCACGCGTAGATGTGGATAGTAGAAATTGTGTGAATATCTGAACGAGTAATTGTTTGACGTGCATTATCAAGCAACGAAAAAGGCGTTACATTCGTAAATCACCTGGACAACTTTCACGAGTGGAATATTACTTCGCATGAACCAGCGGAGATACCGAGTAAAATCAACGGAATAATCAAAAGTATTAAGGAAAAAAGACAAGTTAAAAAAAAAAACAAAAAAAAAATCTGAAACAGTTATAATACTGAAAGAAAGTACCTCAATTATGATTTTTTATTTTCTCTCCAAAAATCATCCAAGTCGCTTACTCAATGTTTCACCACCACGAAACAACACCGAATTCTTCGTATTTTATTAATCATGGCAAATAAACAGCGGACAATTGAGTACATACCAAATAGCATTAATTTCAAGGAAATTTATAAGATTGAGAACTCAATATAAAGAAGCACTTGTGCATGGGTAAAAGGAATGGCATCGGAAACTATTCTGGAATAAGTGCGTAGGGGTATGAATAAAGCCAGCCGTTGCTAATATACGGGTATGTACAGTAAAAAAAGGGCCTTATATGGTTGACCATGCGTGAGTGATGCCGTCAGGATATAGAGAGAAAAGACGAGTAAGAGTCAACTTTTTATTAGTTATAATGTGTGTGTGTACTGGGTAGCAGGTTTGCAAGTCCACAAACTCGCAAATTCGCCTACGCTAGCTTCCACGCTGCCACCACCACCGCCAACGATGACGATGACAGTCCAGTTCATCCCCCCCTCCGCTAATCCACACTACACACATTTTCATTCAATGATCTATACACTTTCATCCTTGCCATTAATAAATATTTCTCTCAAGTTGTTGAAACGAGTGCTCACTATATTATCTATCAAATAATATTCACCGACGGAGAAAGAAAATTCATTTGTAAATTATAGGTCGTTAACTAGACTATCCATTGTATCATCAATTTACTTCTGAATCGGCAATTTCTTTTATGATTCCCCAAACAATTCAAAATTTGATGACGTCATCAAAAATAATGATAGATATGGATATTTTATGGGGATACCCACCCCACCCATCACTTCTACCACGAGCTCTGTGATACAAGTGAGCCCAAAAAAATTGGTGAAAAATAAAAGGCAAAACTACATGAAGGTAAAAAAAAAGGGGCTTTAAATGTACGGAATCCAAGACGAGTGGTGACTCATACACCAGCGGCGACTTTTTTTTTACAATGATGCTTTCTGTGAAACTGGGACTCGCTTCGCAACTTACAGGACACTCACCTCTATCTCTTTAGGATAGAGCCATTAATATTTTTTATTCAATCGGGTTATTGCCAATTAATTCATCTACGGTTTATTCATCATCATCGCGATGGCCGAGATTATTATTGTTTATTACTTACCATTGTTGTATATTTCTTCATTCACTAAGGTATCTTCATCATCTGTGTCAGGACCTAGTGATATTGGAGTGTAGACAATTGAATCTCTCGCCCTCATCTTTGCGGATAGTTTGTTTACTTTAGAATAACATTGATGCTCCTCCGTCACTCGACATGGATGGCGCTAAAAACAAGGTAAGAATATATCATAAGTCAGATCTCGACATATTTTTACCGACTGAGTTCAACCGTTCATTTTGCATATGTGTGTTGTAGATGATATTAGGATTGCTAAACGCATTAAAAATGTATAAATTAAAAATGACCATGTGTTAATTCTGGAAAAGAAGAATTGATTGGTGCCCATAGATGGAAATTTCCTATTGAATTTTCCAGGTTATTAAATTATACTACTTGATAGTCAATATATGGCTCAAGTTGGCGAACTCTAGCGCATTGGTATCTCCAGCGACCCGACTCCCATGTTCCACACGCACTGTGAAAATAGTGTGCGAATATTCTATTTCAAGCACCGAGACGTCTGGACGATCCCCTAGTATAAGTATAAAACATGGCTATTTTCCGAAGCGCCGGCGAGGAGATAGGGACCGACTAAATTCCCTGAATTGGTTGATTCTGAGGGTGTTGGAATGAAATTTAGCCATGGATTGGAAAGCCTCCGATGGGAAAAAATCAAGACATCACTTTCAACCGGAAAATAATGTCTTACTACTCCTAAAGCAAACATAAAATACTAAACCATATTCAGCGATTAATTAATTTTTCTCTATCTATTGCTTATTGAATTGAAATTGTTTTAAAAACAAAGTGCAGAGTATTAAGCCGGAGGATATTTGAGTCGCTGGCATTTCCAGCTCCATGCGATGACATGTATCCTCCTTCTTTCGTGGAGTTATCATGAATTTTCAAAATTTTCCCTTCGTGACAACGGATGGAAATCTGGATGAGAAAAGTCAGCCCTTAAATACCACGTACGTAGTATAGAAACGGAAGTGGATGGCAACAGTGTGTCAGCACAAGAATAGGGAAGGAAGTATGGGGAAAAAAATAATCAAATATATGACGGAAGTTCAACAGCCAGTTGTTACCCATTGTAAATGGCATTTCTGGATTTTCTTTTTTTTTTTTTTTTTTTTTTGGAGTTCCCAAGTTGATGGAAATGGTAGAGACAATGGAGCAATTGGCAGTGAGAAAAAGTTTTTTGATATGGACGTGGGACTGCGTATAGTAGGACGTATGGCACATCCGGACGTTGTGAATTTTTCCATTTTTTTCATTCACAATTAATTGACGGGTTGATTACACAACTTAAAGAGGGAGAGATCAAAGAGGAATTTCGACAAAAATGTCAATTTGTGATGGATTTATCTTTTCTTAAAGCCTTTAACCTTGTCTCTCGGTTAATGTCGTTAATAACACAAACGGCGAGGTCCAGCTGCTGGGTTGTGTATGCTAGCACCTCACATCTCCCTGTCATCTCCATATACACACGTGCTTGCACAATATACGAAACCAACAACATCTTCTCTCAACTTATCTATCCTAAGCTATTTTTTTTTAATCAATAATTGGGTATGAAATTTATGGAAAAATGTGTAAGATTTATGAAATGAATTAAATGCTGTTAATAATATAATATCATTGATGTTTTTAATTGATATTAATAAGAAATCACTGTTTGGAAGTGAGTGCTTAGGCTTCGAGCAAGTGACGAGTGACTGTTGGTAAGACAAGAATAGATTCTTGGCTTTTTTCGGTCTTGCTTTCCGTCATTAGCTATAGATACAATGATAGTTTTTTTTTTTTTTTTTTTGTAACGAAAAGGCGAGCAAAAAATGGGAAATGGAGAATGGAATTGCAGAGGAGCATGAGAATGAAGAATGAAGAATATGAAAATAGGTGGTAGGATGGTGTTGGTAAAAGTGAGTTTGAAGTTGGATGGAGGTGCTTGAGGAAGCTCTATTCCTGGGATGAAATTCGTGGCAGCTAAGCCATGCGACTGTTCCGCCGAGTTTATTGCACCATGTGTCATCGGGCTATGGGCCATGGCCAATGACATGTTGAAAGACCTTGAAACTTATGGAGCATTTTTTTCTCTCACATTACCATTTTTTTACATTACCTTTGCAATTTATGTAAAATTATCCATATAATGGTAGAGCTTTCTCAGAATACTTCAACTAAATGGAAGCGGTTTCCTTCGAAAGTTTCGCCAGTATCCTACTCCCCAAAAATAGAAATGCAGTAGAAATACTAAAGACCCCCAGCGAAGACAAAACCAAGAAATACTACGCGCTTTAGGTTTAGCTTAACGTCTCACTCCCCTTCCTCCCCACTTTACCCTCATTTTGTTCAACTTATAAAAAGCCCACTGAAATTCATCACCAATTTTATGAGAGGGGCTATACTACAGCTGCTTTTAAATCTCTCAAGAAATAATCTGGTAAGACAGTGTTTAATGCTCTTTCTCCGTGATAATTACAATTAAATATTGATGATGGATGCTTTTTGTTTTTTAATAGCCAATCAACAATTCGATGAAAATTAAAAGATAGAAGTGTCATTACCGTGCAATTCTGTGGTGCCGATTTCTCTAGTGTTAATTCATTCCGCATTCCGTATGACAATTCTAGCCTCATCAATCTTTACCCCAACTTTCACAACTCTTTACTTCTTTCACATCGTTCCCATTTATTTTTGATTATCGGAAAACACACACGAGTAATGTATCTTAATCGAGGTAAAATATTTAGCCGGCTGACCTGTATTCACTTGACTTTTTCCATTAAATAACTTGCACTGTCAATTACAATAATAATAAATAATAATAAATAATGGATATATGACTTGGTAATAAATAATAAATTAACTAATTTGAAAAATTTAATAATGGTGTGGGGACTAGATGAGTAATTCGATTTTGGATGGTAGAAGTATTTACTGACGACACCCCGAGTTCAACTGCTCGAACGAGAGAAAAGTGACTACTGTTCTGTAGTACTGTACTGAAAGGAACATATGTATATATATATATATATATACATAGAGATGGTGGGGGCGGACTGCACACACGGAACGACACACGCGCGCGATCTCTCCCTTCCCCTCTTCAATCATCTATATAATATGTCATTTTTCGACATATCCTTGGTCGATTGTCCATTGTCCAATATCAATAAAAGGCAGACACTCAGCCTCACCTTATGCACTTTATCTATTAGAGCATAAAGAATAACTTTGATCACAATTAATCCACAGCCCACCCCGCCAGCCTATTCCCCTTAAACTCCAATCCCGAAAGCGTTAGAGCCATTAGTGTGCCATCCATCACTTCCGTATCTCTGCATTCGTTTCATATACTCTCGTGACACGCGCCTCAAAATTTCACCGGCAACTTCTATTTTCAATTTTTTCAATTATAGAAAAATAAATCTTTAGGAATGTTACTTTCCGAGGTATTAAGGCACAGCTATTTGCATCGTGATGACAATCAATCACAATGAAATTCAGAGGAAGAAAAAATATTTCAGATTTCAGAGGCATGAATTATTTCAATAAACGTCACTGAATTACTACCTTGAATATACACGCTCCAATTATTATATTATATTATTACCATATTATATTATATTAGTAGTATTCATTCACGATTAATCATATTTATTCCTTTGAAAGAAAAAAAAATCATGACATTGCCTAATCCTCCAGTGCATCGACCTCACCTCACACGCTGACGGGACGTGTTTCATCCCCGCTGCATCCGGCTGGAACGTTATACTCCTTGTTTTGTTTTTTTTCTGCTCCTATCTTTTCCCGTCTTTTCCTTAAAATGCTCCATTTTACTCACTCGACAGGCCAATTGACGACAATTTTTGACATACACCAACCGAGTGGTAAATTTACCAGTCTCTGATTAATGGGATGTTCAGCTTTTTTCAATTATTTATCATTTATCATTAGGTTATTATTAAAAAAATAAATGACCAAATACTTGAGGAAACTGTTATAGTGTTTGATTCAATTAACAAAAACCGACACCTTTATTTCTCTTATTTATTTTAACAAAAAAAAAGCGCTAAAAATATTAGGAAAGAACTGAAAAAAATGAACCCCAACCCGAATAGAACGTTGATAATTACATCTTTTAAAAAAAGCAGTATACGAGCATGACTTCCATTGAAAATCATTAAGACCCGACGATATTAATAATACTAAAAAAAAATGATGATTTTCCATCGTCGAGCCACTATCTTCGCATTTATGAACTCATTGTTCCTTGCATAATTTGTCAAAATGAATCAAAACATGTATCCATCGTTTCTACAATAGTATTTATCGACTATCGTCACTAGGCCGTTAGGAACTTATTGTGACGATAGCGAGTTTACGGTCAGAGACCAAGTCGAGGAGCATAAACACAATCGTCAGAAAAGCTTTTTTGTCGGCCGAGTGACGTACGAGATTTTTAGTCATCCAGTCTGTAGACAAAAATGAAAAGTGACAAAAATAAATTGAAATAATTCAATCATCTTTGCCTAATGCTGTTGCATTTAATGGTCAAATTAAACAATAAATGTATGATAGTTGTGTCAGCGATTGTTAAGAAATACAAAAACTAACACTATTGCCCAAGTTGAAACACGAATGAAAATTTGACTGGGGCTTTATCGTCTTTACCCTTGAAATAATAATAAAAATATAGCAAGAAACATTGTGTCGCGAATTGCTCAGTCATTATTAGTGCAAAGGAATTAAACTGATGAATATAAAACGTGTTAATTCATGTTCTTCTTTTTTAATTGAAACAGTGACGAATTCTCAATTGAAGTGATAAAACGCAATTATGCATTGATCTGGTTGAAAAAAAAAAATTTGCCTGAAAATATTAAGGGAATTTGAAGGAAATTCTTTTGCCATTTTTCTATTGAAATCGCTAATTCCTGAAATAATTGAAATAATAAAAAAAAAAGTTTTTAGTTTGACGTTTTATCACTGAGGTACTGAATTATCGTGGGCATTGCATGGTCGTAATGTTTTCCATTGAATAATTGGATTATTAGTGCTTCTTAAGAGAAGTGCATATCGATGAAATTCTGCTTAGACTTAAAGACCGGTCCCCAAGCACCGTACTTGTCGTCCTTGCTAGTTGTTTTCATTTGACTGGATATTTTCTCATTATTCAATGGGCGATTGTTCTTCCTGCAATGAAAATGGAATCATTGACATTAGCATATTCATTGAATTGGTAAATTAATCTAGCCTGAGGAAGCAGTATTTTATTAATTACTTGACTTCCTGGTAGGGACCTCTGAGGGAACCATTTACGTTTGTATGGACCATTCTGATGGTTACTCTTTGAGGATTTTTCTCACAATCAAATGTATCGAAATTTTCCTTCTTCAACTGATTCTCTGGCTGAGTAACGCGATCGACAGTGGCTCGATTAATTTTATTTATAATACTTTGAGTTGTGTTAATTTTTTTAACTATACGAAGTAGAACGTCGTCGCCGTCGTCGCTTCGTCGTATAAATATTAAATTAATGGACCTGAAACTTGAGAATAAATCATTATTCCTTCAATGAAGATGAATAAGATTTTTTACATAATATATATATTTTTTTCATTTTCAATGTTTTTACTTACTCTACGGCACGTGATGCAAATGGACGAGAACTGTGAGTTCTAAGCGATTTCCAGCGTTACCACGACGGCTTCCTTTACGCGATTTTAGGTTTTTAGCAAGTCTAAAAAATTATAATGATTAAAGAACCACAGGAAAGTATTAATTTTTTTTTCCATAGATTATCAGTTTAAAAGATAATGCACTAATGGAAAATTCAATGAATTATCGTTTAAAAAAAAAACAGGTAAGCTAAAACGGCAAAGGAACCAGTTTATTAGCTTACCTCACGCTGGGTAGAAATGTCGGGGAATTGCCTTGGCAATCTAAGCCTTTGCACCTCATGGACACATCAGATAGGCACACAATCACTTGAAATTATAATAAAATTATCGATTATCACTGATCACTGTTATTTTGATAAATAAATTTAGCAATTTTTATGAATAATCTGAAAGACCTTGAAATTTTTATGCAAATTTATGAACCAATCTAATTGAATGTTGCGCGCCGCGCGTACTACTGCCACCAGTCGGCTGTGTCTCCTTGACTTATAATACGTACACATAGGCGCTGCTCTCCCCTTCTTTTCTTCTACAAATCCCTCTTTTCTCTGTTTTGGACGACCTTCCAATCGTCCAACCCAAGTGTGCTCACTAAATCACCATCATATTTAGTTGATCTCTTTTTCTTTATTCCTCCTTTCAAAAAATCATCTTTTATATGTGCTCATGCATTTATCATTTCCTCGTCTCTCTTTAACAACACATAATATATAGTATCACTCAATGATGAAATTTATTATTTTATTTGTTAATTTCTCGTATCAGAAACATATATGAAATATCGCTAAATGCTCATTTATTCACCTAAATTTCGATTCGATTTATTCATTAAAAGATTCATAAAAGTGAATAAATAATAATCATAAGGATGATTATTATTAAATTATACAGTAAGATAAAATGAGAAACATTTGTTACTTGCACTTTAAGGTAAACTAGAATCTGATGCAACATCGATCCAACTGTCGTCAGATTTTTCAGCCTACCTTTGGAATGTTTTATCTCGTGGCAAAAACGAATATTACTCGTATAAAAATCTCTTGAAAAATTAAATTTAATCCATAAAGTCTGATCAATTCCCTCATGAATTACCAAAGGATGGGCTTCTGTTCCGATAGAAGTGCTGAACAGTTATTATTCCGTTTTTCTTTTTTTAATAACAATCAGAAAAAAAATAACATTTAATTGATGAAAAATTCAATTATTTACACTTTCCCAGTCTATGGTGAATTTCTGATGCAGTTACTAACAATCCGCAAACGCTCTTGGAAAGAGAGGTTATATATACATATACGTATGTGCGGTTATTATGTGGTATTAATGGTCTGAAATCATCATGTAATAAAACTACAACGACACAGTGCTTAACCTAAAAAAAAAAAATAATTCAAACTAGTGAATAGTAGCATAATAGAACATAGGAAAAATTAATTAATAAAGGCATATACGTATTAGGAAAAATCTTGACGGCCTTGACGGTAACTTAATGGCAGCTTTAATGAAAAAACGAGTTTTGGCTGAATTCACTCAAAACCAGGTACCCAGAACAATTTTTCAATTCTTTTGTGTGAAATTATTTAGAAGTCTCTTTCATTCAATGAATATTTGCTTACAAAATATAAAATAGCCGGTGAATAAAATAAATGGCAAGTACTAAATAATAATTGATTGCGCATTTTCAAAGATTTGCGAGCTTATGGGAGACCTCTCCCCCAGGTTGAGGGCTTCTGCTACATTACTGATGGCCACGATGAAGGCTGTTACCCAGAGATACATTGAACAAGCTCTCGATAAAAAGCAGAAACGAGTGGAGGACGATGGCTTGGAAATGTGGGGCCTTCATTCACGGTCTTGAGGATGAATTTCTCGAAGTGAGGACCGCGGCGGTTGAAGCTCTTTGCACTCTCTCCCTCGAGCAGCCAGGCATCTCCAGAATCACTCTAGATTTCATGGTGGACATGTTCAATGATGAGATTCAAGATGTGACAATTTGAGCGATTGAGTCCCTCAGAAAGATGTCCGCTAATGCGACTCTCCAGGAGGACCAACTCGAGAGATTATAACTCTCAATTATAACTCTCAAAGGTTCCAGTGCGATTAGAATCAAACTCAGGCATCCCGATCAACATGTCCAGCTGTTTCTCCCTGGTAAGGCCGATTTTAAATCTCAAAATACCACTGAGGGCAATGATTATAAACTCAGGACCACTCTTTTATTGTCTCATCAGGTCTGGATGGAGGCGTGCAATGTGGAAATTTCTATAGCTCTTGCTGCACCATCAACATTCGCCTGTACTCATTCACCTAATGACGATCCTTGTATTCTTGAACTTTGTAAACCCACCAAGGTGGCTATTGCTCCTAAGCCTTTTAACAGGGCCATTTAAATTAGATTGCATTACTAATTTTAATTTATTAATAATATATTAATAATCGGAATAAACATGAAAATTATTCTTTTTACAGATTGTTTATTCTTCTAAAAATATTATTTATCCATCAATAATAATCATTTCAATTTTTGTTTCAGTAATAAATGAGCATGATTAAACAATAAAGATCGTCTGGTCTATAAAATACAGCCATATAATACATATGAGAAAGGGTGCAATATTTTTTTTCAATGAAATTATTCAATGTAGTCGAATGTAGTTTTAACGCCAGCTAGAGAAAGAACTGCCCCCGCTGAATGTAGGGGGAGGAGGTTTCTCAGGGCTCTTCTGGGCCAAGCTGCCAAAGGTCATAGCCCCGTTTTGTCCTGCGAGAGATTCAAAAGTAGAGTTTCCAGTAGGGCTACCAAATACCTTACCCATGGCTGGAGCCCCCAACCCAAGAGGGCTTGCCATGCTGGAAGATGTGAAGCCAGGACTTCCGAAGGTTGGCTGTCCCCCGAAGGTGTTAGCTCCGAATTCTGGCTTGGGGGATCCAAAGACGGATTGGCCAGTTTGCTGACCAAATACTGGTTTAGCACCGAAAGCAGGTGCTCCCCCAAAAGTGGAAGGGGCTGGTAGTGATGGGGTTGTTGCTACCATTGGTGAGCTGAATGTGGCAGTGCCGCCAAAGATGCTGCTATTACCTGTGGATTTGGCACCTCCAAACATCGTTGGGGGAGACGTTGGTGAACCGAATGAAGCACCTGGTGTGCCTCCAAATATGGAGCTTTCTGTTGGGCTAGCCTGGTCACCACCGAATATACTTCCTGCAGTAGATCCCCCGAATATTGGGATATTATTGGCTTCTTGAGACCCAAAGATCCCTCTTGAGATGTTGCCACCCCCGGTACCCCCGAAAATCGATCCTGACGCTGTTGTCACTGATAAAACTGTTGATGACTGTCCGAATATTGGTCCAGAAGATGCAGTTGCGGTAATAGCCTTCCCAAATATGGAACCACTTGTTGATGAGGATGATGCCTGTCCAAATAACGATCCAGGTGATGCTTTTGTTGATTGGACAGTTGGTGCTTCGAAAATTGAACCAATGATCGTTGCTGGTGTCATAGCTGAACCTCCGAATATTGATCCAGTTGCTGTTGCTGGTGTTGTTGTTGTTGTTGTGGCTGTTGTTGTTGTTGTTGTTTGATGATTGGAAAACTCAAAAGTTGATTGACCAGTTGCCATCGTCGCGAGGGTGGTGGTGGTGGTGGTGCTGGTCGTCGTCATCGTCATCGTCGTCGTCGTCGTCGTCGTCGTCGTCGTCGTCGTATTCTTCGTGGTTGACGTCATTGTTTGAGCACTCGACCCTTCAAAAATTGATACATTAGTCTTTGTTGTTGTTCCTGTTCGTGTTGATTCCATCATTCCTGGTGCTGCAACTGTTGTTGTAATTATTGGTGCTGCTATTCCACAATCACCTGAACTCCCAAAAATTGATCCATTAGTTGTTGTTGTTGTCGTTTGAATAAATGAAGCATCAAAGAGTGATTCCACTGTCGTTGCTGGAGCTAAACAATGCCCAAAAATAGGGCTAGTGGACGAAGGCTCAGAGGCAATACTAATTCCGAAGGCAGAGCCTGTAAGTGTCCCTGAAATATCTGGCGAGGTCAAACTTTTGCCAAAATTCAGGCTTGACACCGTTGTGTTCATTCTCTGTGAGAGTGGACTGTCATTTGTTAAAGGTGAAGGTGAGGTGACTCCAGAAACTGATGATACTTGAGGTGAGTTGAATGACGGTGAAGATGAAGTTTGAGCTGTTCCTCCAAACACTGAAGAGGAAAGTCCGATCTGTCCACCGAAAATATTCCCACTTAAATTGGAATTCCCTACGATTAGAGCTCCCGATGATGTCGTGACTGGCAGTTTCTCAATCGTAGTCCCTATTGGCAATTTGATTTTGGTTTCATTAGGATCTCGGACGGCAGCTGCAACGACGCTTGAAGTACTGGGGATCTTCCCAAAATTGATACTACTAGTTGGCACCGTCAATTTCCCAAAAATTGGAGTCGTCTCAGTCTGGTCAAGCTGTTTTTCAGAAAATTCAACAGGCAGTCCAGATATATTGATGGAGCCCTGACTCGAGGAAACAGTTGCACTTGAAACTGCAATAGCCTGAGTTTTTGGGAGGACAGGAGAACTGGCAAAGCTAAAAACACTCTGGGAAGTTGCAGGAGTATCTTTAAATGATATTGATAATACTGATCCCAGAGATTGAGTTTGAGGTGGCGGCTGTCCTGTTATCGTATTAATGAGACCTGTACTTTTGAACAGAGCATCAGAAAAAAGGCTAGTGGAGCCTTGAGCAGGCTGATCCTTTACTCCAAATGACGAGGAACTCTCATTTTTACTGGCAGTTTCCTTGCAAGTGCTTAATGATTTGGTACTCTGTGTTTTTTGCTCGGAATTATTGAAGGAGACATTGAGAATCTTGGAGAGGGCAGCTGTTGTTGACAGATGATTACCAACAGTCTGAAGAATAGCCTGTGGTGCAATGGGTTTTCCCATGTGTAAATCCGACGTAGGAGGATTTTTTTCACTAGAAGGATCAAAGCCCTGAGTAAATGATAATCCTGAGTGTTGCAAGGGCTGGAATTTAGCAGGAATTGGCGTTTTACTATTGCCAGTTTCTATACTTCCAATTTGTGCTACAATCGAGTTGAGAGAAGCTAGTGGGCTCGATGCGTTCGATTTTTCAATTGCTGCAGATGGGGTAGAGGCCGCTGTTGCTTCTGTCATTGTCATAGATGATTGGAATTTTGGTGGATAATTTGTGGGTGCAACTGATCCAGTATATAATTCATTCACTCCACCTTCTGAAATGGATTTAACATCTCCTCTAAGACGTTGCGCTACGGGAATAGGACTCAGAGAGGTGAGAGAAGACAAGGTGGCCTCCAATTTGTCTTGAAGGGGAGATGAACTCATCGTTTTGATAACTCTCACTTTAGTTTGCAACAGAAGTTCTCTCAGTTTCGTTTGTTTATCTCTGCTCATATTCCTAGTGTTGTTTGCTATTGTTTTCCAACGAAACTCCATACCATCTACGCCATTCACTTTTGTGGAACTTGGAGTTTTATCGAGACTCAGTCGTGACATCGACCGGTTGAGGCCTGTCACCTTAGAGCTCCTCGATAGCACTTTCCATTTCTGAATGTAACTCTCCAAGTTGGATTTCTCTTTGGCTATGATTTCTCCATGGCATTTCAAACTTTGATAGACAAACTCCAAACTCGGGATTTTCATTTTGAATTTATCTCGGAATTGGAATTCTACCCAGTCCATGTCCAGGGCCTTGTTTGCTTGAATCAATTGGGATTGGATATTGAAATAAAGTATCTGAAGCTCCTTGATTTTACTTTTATTGTGAGGCTCACGATTTTCCTGGCAACTAATGGAGTTCCGGGATTTGGTTTCCTCAATCCAGACAAAAGATTGAAATAGAAGAGCTTTTAAGTAGCAGATATCACCCGCCAAACTGCCCGTCGTTTCTTCAAGCTCCCGGAGAAAGTCCTCGATCTCGATGGAAAGTGTCATGAGCTTTTGCTTTTCCTCCTCACTGCCACAATCCCAGATGCGGGGCTTCAGTGTCTCTTTCAATTCATTTTCGAATATATTTTGCTCTTCTCTGGACACTCTGAAGTAGATACGTTCGTCGATGACAGGTTTCTCTTGCACCAAAGGCTGAAGCTGATTCTTAATAATTGGAGCACGACAGAGCTCCTTCTGAGAAATTTCCACAGTTTCAATTCTAGATTTGGTGATCACTTGGGAAGTAAGCTTTTCAGTCTGATGAGAAGGTTGAGAGAAAGGGACAAGGGCAGGGGCAGGGGCAGGGGCAGGGGCAGGGGCAGGGGCAGGAACAGTGGTAGGAGCAGAGACAGGCATGGGTACAGGAGCGGCGGCTGGAAAAATCTGAGAAATACTGTTTGATGCTATGGAGGTAGTTCTTATTCTGTCTTCAAAGAGATTAGTGGTGGTAATCTCTGGCTTTGTTCCACTCTGTTTGACTCTGGGGGTGCTAGTAGTTGCCGAATTGATGGTAAACGACATTTCAGAGGGTACAAGACTGATTCTGTTGTGTTGTGGAGGTGGTAGGGAGCAAATGGTCGCTGGTTCCCAAGGGGCTGAGCACAAGCTAGCGGAAGTAGGTGTTAGATTGATCATGTTGTAGGAGCTAATTCTTCCAGAGTCTCCGAGTATGTGAAGCATTGGCATCGGATGGGGAAGACTCTCTTCCCCCCAGGGTAATACATCCTGAGGAGATTTGTCGATGGCCATTCCAAGGGGATAGCTCTCATTACCTCCAATGCAGGGAAGTTCTGCCCTACCACTATCTATTAATTGCCACTGCTCCCACGTAATACCATTGTCATTGGAACCGAGTATTGCAACTTCACTGCTGCCACTGCTAGCTGCAACCAAGATGTTCCATTCTGGGATGTGCTCAATATAATATCTCGGAGGCTCCCCTCCGAGTGGCATGCCAAAGGTGATGTCCTCGTAATTGGTGAACGAGGCCTTTGTCTCACCCTTTGGTGCGTCTATGATGACCACATTGATGCGATGGCCGATGGGCTCTGAGTATGCGGCGCAGAACTGATAGTTGCTAATCCAGATGATCACCAGCGCTTCCCCAAGGCTTGAAGAGGGGCCTACCAGATTTCTTGCTACTTTGAGTTCTGGTTTCAACTGAGCTATGCCACCATTCTTGCAGCCCACCACCATCTGTTTGCCCTTGGGGCTCCAGGCAACACATGTTGGCTCCAAGCCCGGCAATTTTTCCAGAGCAATGATACTTAACGTGGATTTCTGATCCTCTTTGACCAAGAACGAGCCAATCGTGCTATCGCTGGCTATTGTGCTGAAAATGCCTGGGATCGAGGGGTTCCATTTCAGATCGTATGCGAAGACTGATAACGGCGACGGCGACATCTGAATCTCGTGGAGAAGCTCCAGGGAGGGCTTGCTGAGAGAGGAAGCACTGTAGATGTGGGCCGTTGAAGAGGTGTAGACCACACTGAGGTAGGAAAAGTCACAACTCAGGGAAATTCGAGAAATCGTTGTGGGCAGGCAGTGACGCAGAGGTGGAGTGCTTTCCCTTGGAGAGCAGGAAAGGACTGTAATTTCGTTGGTATGGGCGATGTATAAGAGTCCGCGCTTGCCGTCTGTAGTAATTTGATTACAGCCGGTCGGTGCTGTCTTAAGGGGTTCGCAGATCTGTCGAGCTGGCAATTGTTTGAATTGAAAATGCTGAAATCATCCAGTTTATGGCGTTTATTTTTCATACTCTCTATCATTTCTTTATATTTAATAGTTACGATCATTTTTTTTTTAAGATTAATAAATTGGGTTAATTCAATGTGCTATAATACATATTGCTTAATATCGATGAGAGGTTAGAAACCATTGCTCAATATTTATCCAAATATTTTTCGCGTTTCAAGAATGTCAGTTTTATTTCTACTTCCTCATACACTGGTTTTTCACGAATCATCACATTACATCCTCTCCAACGACTCAAAATTGTTAAGAAAAAACATTCACGACTACCGGCTAACTCATTAGCAAAAGATCACTCACAGTCCCTACGGAAATATTAATGAAAAACAAAATATACCTGGACCTCCTTTGGGTCGGGTGCGGGCTTCATTTTTGCCAAGTAATGATGATTAATAACTCTTTCTTTCAGAATAAATTCCAAACGAGATCAATTCGCTTGTAACACATTGGCGAGAGAGTGTTTCTCTAGTTCCAGAGATGAACAACTACACAGTTGGAGAAGAGCGCTGATGTAATGCTGTGGATGAATTTATGTAATTTTATTAGTGCAAAATGAAAGTCAAAAAAAAAAATTATTTTATTCATGCTGTCAAGATGGTGGTAGAGGAATTCCGAAATATATTCAGGTAAATATTGCAATGAAAATGGGCGACTGTTTCTCAGGTTAAGTTCTCACAAAATGATAAATTCGACAAAAAAATAAAGGGAGCGCCCCAGTCCCTCTTTTCAAAAAATGTAAAAATTAAAAATCACGCCCCGAGGGCTAACTCACCCTCATGACGAATCGCCGGTCGCTCCGTAACTCAGATCCGTTAACCTTTTCCTGGAATTTTCATTATTGCGTGAATTTGAGTTATGGAGCGACCGGCGATTCATAATGAGGATGAGTTAGCCCTCGGGGCGTGATTTTTAATCTTTTCACGTTTTGACCAAATGGCACTTGGAAAATTTTCAAAAAAAATTCACCATTCACGCAATAATGAAAAAAACACTTGAAATTTCCACAGCACGCCACAAACCCATCCTCACCATTTTATTTTCCACGAAATTAACACTCTCCACTGACAAATTCGAACCCAAAAAATATCCACCAGGACTACACTGATCTCTTGCTAAAAACCCTGAAATTCTCACAACACGACACCGACCCACACTCACGATTTTTTCCCCGGATATCAACACCGTCCACTGATGATTTTCGGTTTCCACGAAGCAATATTGCACCAAAAACAATGTCGTTATCTATCGAGGATGTTATTAATACTACGTCGTATCCACTCCCCCACAAAAAACCGGGAAAAAGTCTCATTTTTCTCACGATTTGCCGCCTAATAAAATGGCGGGATCCTGAAATTTTGGCGGTTTAGCAAACACGTATGAAATTCTCTGTTGCCGGTCCCGCGTCGTTCTTAATAGACGCAGGCGCATTTGCTTGGAGTGTCTGCGCATGGCAATGCCCGTAGCCTCTTGTGCGCATGCGTGGGGTCTCCGATGCCCCACCATCTTCTGACGTAGTCCATTGTTCCCTCGCTTTTCGGTGAGCGAGGTGCCCGGCTACTTTCAGTGCGTGAAATTTCTCGGATATCGCCGGGTATAAGAGCATAGACATTATAATACGCGGATCGTCAAACAAAACCGCCGGTGTTGACGACAAACGTGTAGAAAACCGAGGAAAATAACGTATTTAGTGAATCTTGCAGTGAGCTTGTGATGAGACAAAGGATGTTGGGGGGCATTTGGATTATTGGAAGTGTGTGACGATTTTCATTTGTCGTGATAAACTTTGAGGGCTTTGTTGTTGACCTTCAGCCTTTGTTTAAGGACATGGTGCCGTCTCGTGAGGCATCGAAGAAATTTATTGAGACTTTCGGTGACATCGGATGTGTTAGAAATTGTTTAGTAATTGTTGCTACCGGAAAAAAACAATATGGCAGTCAGCCCGTGGCTGGTGTTCGCCAAAAAATTACGAAAAAAATTTCAAAGACTCGTTTTCAGTGCGCGGAATCTATTTTCGAGTTTAATAAAAGATTTTGTAGTGTTGGTGTGTTTCTTTTTTGGTGGTGTGTGATTTTTTTTGATGTTATGTGATTTTTTTTTGGTGTTGTGAGTGTTTTTTTGGTGTTGTGAGTGCTTTTTTGGTGCGGTGCGAGGACTCATGGAGGATCGACGCGCTGCGAAAGGCCGACTACATCGAGGTAATTAAATTTCGATTAATGCCTTCGATTAATGCAATATTGATTAACCGTTTTTAATATTGAACATTTATTATTCCAGATCGCGTTGAAGAATCGAGAGATGAAAACAGAGCTCTTGTTTTCGTCCAACGCCGGTGAGTCATTTCCAATTTACCAATTCGTTCATTCTGCGATTTTCGGTTGTTATTCCCTGAGAAAAATGCAGCAGGCGAGCTGTGTTATTTTCTCTTCGTACGCTTCGAAGAATTGCGAATATTCTTCATGACGAATTGGTAGTTATTTCAAATTTACCAATTCGTTCATTCCGTCGATTTTCTCTCGTCCATCTTCGAATTTGTCAGTGGAGAGAGTTAATTTCATGGAAAATAAAATGGTGAGGATGGGTTTGTGGCGTGCTGTGGAAATTTCAGTGTTTTTTTCAAGTGACAATGTTGAGGTTGGTGATCAAGGTGCTCTTGCTTGATATTTTTTTGGATCCTGACACTATTGTTGAGGATGTCTACCCCTCAAGAACTGTAAGAAAAATCACGATGTGTCCTGGGTGGATATATTTGTGGATCCAGAGAATATTGTTGAGGATGTGTACCCCCTCAGGATGTGTTTTTTTACAAGTGATGATTATTAAGGATGTATACCCCTCAGGATGTGTTTTACAAGTGATGACCATTGAGGATGTATACCCCTCAGGATGTGTTTTTTTTACAAGTGATGATTATTGAGGATGTATACCCCTCAGGATGTGTTTTTTTTACAAGTGATGGATATTGAGGATGTATACCCCTCAGGATGTGTTTTTTTACGAGTGATGATTATTGAGGATGTATACCCCTCAGGATGTGTTTTTTTTTACAAGTGATGATTATTGAGGATGTATACCCCTCAGGATGT